TCATACTCGGTCTAGTCTAGATCCATAAGTGGAGTCTAGACTAGAAAAAAGTGTCTAGACTATCTATCTAGGCTAGGTCTTGATCTAGACCCCTAGACTAGACTAGACTCTAGTCCAGTTTTATACGACAAACAAAGCACATTAATTATGGTTTAATTGTTTCAAACCGAGTCCAAACATTATATGTCTGCTTAGATTATAGTCCATTTGATTGAGAGTCTAATCAGTAATCTAGTTTTCATTCCACAATCAGATCCGGCGAAGTCCAGCAATCAGTCCTGGATCTACTTGCACGGTCCGCAACACGACGCTCTGGGTCCGAGTGGCGGCTAGTTCCAAAACCATAATGCAGTGCAGGGCTGGAAGTCCGAGGTAGCGGCCTTAGAGCTGTACTGTTCCCGGTCCCGGTCGAGCCTCTAGGCTCTGGTCTTGTCGAGCCTCTAGGCTCTTCTCCTGACGAGCCTCTAGGCTCTGCTCCTGGCGAGCCTCTAGGCTCTGGTTCTGCCTCCGCATCAGTTCTGGTCCTGAATGTATAGGGCTTTAGTCTGACAGTCAATACACTAGTCTACTCGTAGTGTTTCCCGCGTAATATAGTGCGCAACCTTACGCCGACACAAAGTCATATTGGAGACGCGGCTGTGAGTTTACTCTGCTGGCTGTGCAGTGTGATTGTCGGCAGTTCAAAAACCGTCCCTTATCAATCTTTCATAAGTCATTCAAGATTATTGCTTGCCCTATGTGATCTGCAGTTCGATAGTAATAGATATGGCAATTCTTTTGACCGCTGCCACCATGTTGAAAGATCAGATGAACGGATAAATAAGAGATCACTGTAGTAGACAAGGTTCATGTATAAGTGGCCATCTTGAAAGTGCTTTATTCATGTATCCTTCCGCCAATCGCGGCCTCATTACGCACATTGATGTTGTTCATATAGTACCACAACACTACCAAAACTGTAATTACTCCTTTATTTGGTCCTATCTTCATCTCATGAGTTATTGCTCCATAAATGGCTAATGGTGAACCATCTGCTAACTGTGCACTTATGCTACGATGTTGCAGAGGGGGTCTATCTTTTTCATCTAATTGTTCATATGATCGTCTAGAAATGTAAGAATCTGAAGCACCAGTATCAACTAGAAATTTGTATTCCTTGTCCTGAATGTGCACTGGAACATAAAGACCATCAACATTTTGATTTATACTGGGTATGAAACTTGTCTTTGTTTTGCTAGTTTGGGTCTCAATTAATTTTGGACGATTGGCCGCGCCACGACCCTTTGGGGCGACCACTTGTCGTTTGACTGACGCTGGTATCTTTGTCTTGACCAGTTAGATTCATCACTTGGATAGTTCCTTCCTCTTCGATCCATTTGTTTCTTACGGCATTCTCTTGCGAAATGGCCAGGTTTCTCACAATAGAAACATGTTTGGGTTTTCACAACAAATCTTCCTTCATGCGCTGTTTGGCTTGGTCTTTGATTAGTTCCTGGTTTCTTCACATATCCCTGACATCTTTCCTTGTTAGGTTGACTTTCCATGGCTTGGCCTAGGACTTTGTTGACTTCATCTTTGATCATCTTCTCTAGATCCACTTCAGAGCCGATTCCTCTATTGTAAGTAGGCTTAACCTTCCATCCATTCCTCTCAGTCTCCGTCTGTAGAAATGTCTCAGTGGTTATTGCTGCTTGAATTACCTCATCTAAGCTTGTTGCCTTAGCATGAAATATTCCCATACGAATCTCACTACTACGAATAGCATCAGTAAAATGAATCCTAGCTAGTCTATCGACCCCTTGACTTTCAAAGTTTGGATATGCCTTATCAGTTAGTTCCCTAATATGACGTCCTAGTTCCTGAAGTGATTCTCCTTGACGTCGCTTACGATTCCTAAGTTCCAACAAATAGCTTTCCGCCTGTTTGGCAGAAGAGAACCTGAATGACAGTTTACTCTTTATTTCTTCAAAGTTCCACTTGGTGCCTCTTTGTTCTTCTAGTAATCTCAGAGCTTGACCTCTCAAGCTAGCAGCTAGATACTTGGCAGATTCCTCATCTTTCCAGTTGTTGATTTCGCAACAAGAATCAAAATGCGAGGCGTAGTCTTTCCAGTCGGTACTTCCATCATACTTGTCCGGCATGATCAGTGGTCGATGAGTAGTTTCCCGAATTCTATCTTCTTTGGTATAGCGAATATCATCATTCCTCTTGTGTGCCTTCATTTGGTTAGTTTCTTCCTTATGTTTCCTCGTCTTTGATTCATCGACATGAGATATTCCTTCCTCGTCTCCATTTTGGATTTCCATTCCTAATTCCGGTCGTCTATTTGGTTTGAAGTTGAATTCCACTTCATCATCTGAAGAATCAGATAGTTCTTCCGTGGATGAGTCTGGGCCACCACGCCTATTCCTTGGTTTCTTTTTCAACTTCATCATTTGCCCCATTAACTTCGTTAGTTGGCTTAATATCCGACTTTGTAATTTCTCTGACCTACTCTTCTTTTTCTTTGAACTTTTTGTACTAGACATTGTTTCATCTGAGGAGCAACTTAGCTCATCTATTTCTTTCTTAGACTTTGGTACCTCCGCCATATTAAGAATCCCACTTCTGACACCAAATTTGTGGCGGCCGCCCCCGCCTCCGTCTCCGACCTCTCAAACTACGTCGGGATTAATCTCTTTCCCAGCTGGGGAAACTGATTCTTTATATCTGTCAGGATATTCGTCAGCCGACATTATTTATAATGTCCGAGCGGTTAGAGTAATTAGATCTTATCTTTTATTTGAGGAAAGACGGGGGAAGCTACAATACTTATTTACGTTCTTTTCGTCGAAATATACGACTTATGACGGAGTACCAGTCAAGAAGAAAGACAAAGTGTTTATAGACTCATAATTTCAGTTTTAAGACAAAAGAAAATGGTCAATTTTTATTAATGCATGTACTTCAAATATTTACATCTTTATATCACCACTGTCACAAATACCTTGTGCTCATAGTTATACTTAATGAATTTATACGATTGTCGTTATTATATTCGGATACATGTAATAAAGTAAAGGCAATGATTCATTGGGATTTATGGGACTTGGGAGTTTTCCTCTTAGTTTAATTCCATAGCGTCATAGGGGGAGAGGTGGACTTAGAATATTCCTGCATCTTAATTATAGTGGTTCATTAATTCCAGCATCTTAATTCCAGCGTAGACTTCCTTGTGTACCTTTATATTCCAGGGAGGGAGAGAGATCTTATGTGTGGTACCGGTTCCCGGCGGCGTTATTTTTTTATGCGGCACAGATTGGGGCATGGCGCGTGTTAAACCTATGGGAAGTATGTTCTTTCCCTTCTGAATAGTGTCTGCACATACGTGAGACTACTCATGTTAGCTAGCGCATTAGCGCTGCGAAGAAGTTTGTAATCCATCGCGAACTATGTGTTTAGATAACATTCCTCTTCGTTTAAGTTAGTTAAGTTTTATTGACTAATTATTGTGATGTTCTCCTTATTGACGTGCTGCCTCCTCTTCATATTTCCAATTTGATTTTAATTGTTGATGTAATGATTTTCCATGCGGTAGTGGATTAAATGTAACACTATTAAAAACAGACCTCTACTACTTATACTGTCTAGTACGCACACGACCAGTATTAGTCTGTAAATCAAGACCCCTTTTAAAAAAAAGCCCCAATCTGTGCCGCATAAAAAAATAACGCTTCCCGGCGAGCGCCCAATTCCAAGACAAGTCCTTAGGTGGGGGGGATTTCCAGGGAGAGACTAATAGTTCTGATTCCGACGAGCGTCCAATTCCAACTACTCTTCGCGTTTTAGAAATGTTACGGGTTATAAAGGCATAATGCGGACGTGGGGAAATCGATGCGCTAAGCGATCTTGGAAAGTACACGCGCAGCGAAAATGGACTTAACATGAAGACTGTGCTAGTTCAGAGCAAAATATCTAAGTAAATCTCTTATTTTACCATTAATTAAATACAACACTCTGAATGACATATCAGTTGCAGTAAATATTAACAAATTACATTGTCTAAACAACTTTCCATCCAAATTCATGTGATAGATTGATAAACAAGTAACAGTATAACATCTGAAAGCATCTCAATAATGATCCAAATGTCAATCGCTCGTATGCAAATTATTAACGTAAACATTGTGCGTCGGTGTATGATGACGCGCTTGAAAACAACAATCATTTAAGTTAGGCCTCTTTGTTACGTCACGACCGCGGAGCGGATCGTTACACAATTATGCTCAAATTGTTGCTCGCTTGCCTCGCTCACTAGCCGAATTATTGTGAAACCAGAAAATTACTTTTTTTCGGGCAAGAGGCTATAGCCCCCCCCCCCTCGATGAAAATGTGAAAAATTGTACCGGTATGGTGCTTCTAATATGACCTTGAAAAAACGGTCTGCGCAATTTTCAAATTTCCGGCCCCCCCCCCCCCCCCCCCTATTGGAAAATCCTGGATCCGCGCCTGCTTATAAGTATGTGGAGACAGTGGAGCGGGCACCTATTAGAATAAAAAACGGGGCACTTATCTGAAGTAAAAGGGGCACTTTTCCTTTTAGGGGCACTTAGTGACCCCCGCCACCCCCGGGGCGCCGCCTTTGGATTCATGCGTAACCTTTGAAATATAATATGTACCATACTCAAGAAACATTAGTCGGAACAATTTTTTTTTTTCACATACTAATGAAATGAGGTGCAGTCGTCAGAGTGCAGTGATTGGAATGATAAAAGCACGTGGACGTTCTTCGAAAACCAAAACAAAGACCGTTCCATTATTTTATAGGGAATATATGGAGTAGTAAACAAATATATAACACTACATGTACTTCATTTTCACCCTAATACTTTCTAAAAATTTGGATAATATATTAATAATACAAACAATCTCAAACGTGAATTCTGTTAAATACTTTTATTTCTTAGCAATGACATTTTTTTTTATCTGAAAAAAAAGAACATCCCCGATTCTTCTATTCTACATATGGCGGGCTGAGAACATGCCTGGCGCGCCAAATCGACTTCTCTATTTAGACCACGTATTTTTGTAATCATGGCTCTCCAATCAACACACCAACTTTCTTTGGGTAAGATGTCTAAGTTTTCTTTTTTCCGATATTCTAAATATCTTAATAGAAAGAACTTATTCATTTTCTAATATTTTTTATTATCTTTATCACAGATTCAAATCAAGAACAAGGCTTTCTCACCTATTTACGTTCGATGCCCGAGGTAAGTTCATTCACTGACTCGTGCTTGTGTGTGTGTCATTGCCATTGGATGAGCGAGTCATTATTGTACTGCAGTGCAGTCCAACGTATTGCAATTTGTGTAGATCTATAGACTGGCATGCAACTAGAAATATTTGAAAGATTTTCATTTCAAGTCTCTACACCCAAATCATTGAAATGGATCCGGCACTAATATTAACTGCCTGCACTAAAGTCAAAGAGTAAGACTAGGTCTAGATCTATCTAGTCTTCAAAATCGTTTGTAAATGGCGTGCATGTTTCGTTCGTTAAGCCTCTTATTTGGGTAGGGTCGGCTCTCTCTTTAACTCTTAAGCTGCCACCCATACAATGCACCCAGTGCCACAGTGCTAATCCCTATTGTGCCCGCTACTAATCTCCTGTGTGCCAAGTTAATTTAGGGTTGGTTCAAGTGCGTGTAGTTTAAATTGTTACTCTGTTTGATCCACTATAACATCTCATCTGTATATTGTATAAAAAAGAATTGTAAGTTAAAGTTGTAGGAAATTTAACCCTCTTTCTGTTGATACCAATATCATTTCATGAATCTGTAATTTTGGTAAAGTAAATAAGCACTATCAGTGAGTTGTCAAACCAATCCGCACACAATCTGAGGGGCCATGATCAAAACTGACAAATTTGATGATAAAATATCGCAATTTTCTCAGGAAAATCCAATGTAACGGTATGTGAAGCACACAAAATCAAAACAACAATAAACCCCCTCCACAAATACAGTAAGCATTCATGCGTGCACGCAATGCGCATCGCACAATAGGCATAAACAATTAGCTTGTGTACTTATGCACGAAAATGTGTCCGTGGCACGCGAGCGGATGAGAGTTTATGTGTGCATGGCATGTCAACAGAAACCCGGTTATGTGTGCGTGGCACGCCAGCGCATGCACAGAACAGTGTTCTTGGCACGATAAGAGTTAACGAACGAAAGAGACGGAAAATTCGGTCTAATGCTTTACAAGCAATTTTGAAGATAATTTTGTTGATAATTTTGAACGATTAGGCCTAAAATGAAAACTTGTTGTATTGCCGTTTGGGTGCCAAAACATGGGTCAGTCGGTCGGAAAAGTTTTTTTTGTCGCCCTCTTTGGGCTGATAATTTTTTTAGATTAGAATGTTTTTCAGTATCTTCTTTTTTTTCCCACCCTCTTTTGGCTGATATTTCTCAGTTTGTAATGCTTTTATACATGTGTTTCAACGTCATTATTGTGAGCACTAATTTTTTTTTGGCCCTCGAAAATATGAAAGATTGCATCCCTCCCCCCTTGAGCGCCAGGGGAGGGGGCCCATCTCCAAAAAAAGGTAAAATTAACATGTTCTTACACGTTTTTTTTTTCCCAGGGGAGGGGGCCCCCCTGGATCCGCCACTGTCTTCTCATACAAAGCCATTTGAAATTGGTCGAGAATTTAACCAAAAACTTTGATTTGGAATTTTGGATACCTAAGTGAGAGCAATATCTTTACCTTCTACATGTTCTTGATGGTTGATAGTAGTGAGCCAACATACAACTTACATTGCAAAAACACTGACCTCTTATGAGAGTTTGTGATGTTGGTTACGCCTGAAATAAATTTACACGCAGTGTTAACGAAATAAACCTTTTTCGCAATGATAATTTGATACTAACTTGACAATAATAACGATCAGTGTAGAAAGGCACGCACACAGATTTCTAAAGAAATTGTTCTTTTTTTATTCTTTCAGAAACCTGAAACAACATTCAGAGTATTTGACAGAACTGTAAGTACCATTTAAATTTAAGTTTGATATTCTATATACGCTCTACTAGTACTGTAGAGGTGTCACTCATGAGTGGTTTAGACACCTGACTGGGTTTGTGGATCAGAGCCCAGTTTCATAAAACTTGACATTGATTGATGGTAACTTTGCCATAAATGGTAATTTCCATGGAAACCTTGATTTGATTGGCTGTTGAGTGATGTTACCATGGAAGTTAATATTAATAAGTTAGCTTCAGTTGTAAGTTTCATGCAATGGGACCCCGACCTTAAAATTGTACTTATTCCTTTTATTTGGCAAATTTGTTAACAAAATCTTGTCTGTAACAAGTGGCAAAAATAATTATACAACATATGCTTGCAGCCAATCAAATTCAATATTTTCAGTAACTTTAACAACCGTTCTCTGAAATTCAAACGGTTTTAGTGAAAGCCTTGAATCATTAAAGAAACAACCATAATTTTGTTATTGGTCTAACAAGTGTAATCGATGCCCAACTACTAAGGCTGCGACGGGTAGTCGAATGCTTAAGTACCCGCACGGTTGACAACTACTCGGGTACGATTTCTCGTAGCCGTGTTAAACTCTCGCTGCCGTCAATCTCATCCCTTCTAGTCTACGCGTATACGCCGAAGGCAAAAATGATTATGAAGGAAAAACTGTGATAACGCCATTACGAACGTGTAGATGGCGCACAGTTTTTCCTTCATAATCATTTTGCCTTCGGCGTAGACTAGAAGGGATGAGATTGACGGCAGCGAGAGTTTAACACGGCTTGCAAGATTTTCAACATGGATGTCGATTTTGACCCATAATTTCCTTAAAAGGGACCATTAAATGGATTATTTCAATCAAGTTAGTAAGTGGAACTGATGTATTATAGCCTAGGCCTAATGTAAAATTGGATATGCACGAGGTAAAATGACATTTTGGGGGATTTTGGGGGCATAACAATACGGCCGTGGCAAGTTTGTCATGTTTGTGGGAGGGGCCTAACGGCTAAAATCTAGCCATGATATCTTCAACATAGGCTGGCATAGGCGATCGTTCTGTCTCTATAACCGGAGGTCTAGTGGAGCCAGACGTAGTCTCAGTGGAACAACCGACGGTATAGAGACTGAAGCTTTCGGTCTAGATCCGCCCCTGTGTTTTGGGAGGATATGGTAAAGACTAAAAGTAAAGAAAGAATGTAAATAAGGTTGCTCTGAATAATGAGGACATTATGTGCAGAACGGGAAGAAATAGAGAGAATGTCATCACGGGGATAAAATTCAATAACAGCTATGTAACAAGTACATTTCAGAGGGAAAATGCTGAAATACCAAGGAATTTAGGAGTTTCATGGGTACCAATTCAATGGAAATTCGTATTAAAATAAGAGCCCCCGTCAGTACTAAAAGAGCCCCCGTGAGAAGGCTCACGGGGGCTCTTTTTTTTTGGAAGAGCCCCCGTGGACAAAAAATTAATTTGAGCCCTGCCCCCCCCCCCTCCAAATTTTCACCCCTATTTTCATTGTTCACATTATTTTATAAAGACAACATTCTACGCTATAAAAAAACAAAAATGGATGGCTTCATACATGTAGTTCCTCAAAATGTCGCTGATCTGTTTTTTTTCATTTGCATAAACAGGTTTCATTAAAAAGCATTCATAAGTCATTTGCTTGCACTGCCCCTGCAGTGTGGAACACTACCACATCTACAAAAGAGTCATACAAAATTTAGTTTATACCTCCTCAAATAGTAAATGATTATAAATAATATTGACAGATATTTGGTCGGCTAATTACCACACCCGTCTTTCATTTTATATATTTTATTTTAAGTGCATGGAGATGCTATGGCATCATGCACTGTAAAAGCACTTGTGTATGTAGTAGTAGAAGTAGAAGTACAGGTAGTAGCAGTAATAGTAGTAGCAGGAGGAGTAGTAGTAGTAGCAGAAGTAGTAGTAGTAATGTAGTAGTAGTAGTAGTAGTAGTAGTAGTAGTAGTAGTAGTAGTAGTAGTAGCAGGAGGAGTAGTAGTAGTAGCAGAAGTAGTAGTAGAAGTAGAAATAGTAGAAGTAGAAGTAGTAATAGTAGTAGCAGTAGCAGGAGGAGTAGTAGTAGTAGTAGTAGCAGAAGTAGTAGTATAAGTAGAAATAGTAGAAGTAGAAGTAGAAGTAGAAGTAGTAGAAGTAGAAATAGTAGAAGTAGAAGTAGAAGTAGTAGAAGTAGAAATAGTAGAAGTAGAATTAAGTAGAAATAGTAGTAGAAGTAGCCGCAGCAGTATTAGAAGTAGAAGTAGTAAGTATATCAAGTAAACTTTCCCTTTAATTCACAAGAATGCTAGTAAGGTAAGTAAACAATTTACAAATATACCATCTTCATGCATGCAACAGCATTGAAAGGGTTAACATCCAATCTTGAGTCTGATAATGGAATCGGTATCATCTCCATACCACTACTAACACCGTCATGTAATTATATCTAGAGGGTATTGTATAAGTGTTACACAGTCACTTCACTAAAATGTTGCACAAACAGAACCCGATACCCTGTTCCACACTCATCATACCAAGCAAAATGTCCTCCTGTTTAGTGTTCCTCTCGGCATTATTAGTTCAACCTCACTTTGCGTGGATGCTTCCTGTTTGCTAAGCATCTTTTCTCTCTCTGTCTTTTGACATGAAAGTATGCCTCTTCTTGCAGATTCTATGACAGCCTTGTATCTGTAACAATAAGACGATGTTGCATCTTAATTTTTTTTTTTTTAAATTTGGGGTATTGGTGGAAAAGTGAAATATATATTAGAGTGGAAGTGATTCAAATAAAATGAATAATTTTAAATTTCTTCTGTTTCCAGAATTCAAATTATTTTTCATGTGCATTTTTTGTTTTAAATTATTTATCACGCATGTGAATTGTTCGACAGTTTTGATTCATAATAATGCCAGTCAGTGCTCCTTAGGTGGAGTGCATTGAAAACACACAGCTCAGTCTGTCCCCAAGTTCTTTACATTTTCAATTAAGATAACTACATTTCATTTCAGCTTCATGTTAATGTTCATTATCAACCGGAAGCAGAACAATTGTTTCTTTCTCATTCCAGAGTATACAAAATTAGGACGGTCCTAAAAAGGCAAGGGATTTGATCGTGATTTGTGTTCTGACCATTACATTCAGATTTATGAACAAAATGTCACATTAATTGTCATTAATATTTTTTTTCTTTCTATTGTAATGGCATGTACAAAGTGTTTTGACTCAGGCACTTATAGCTTAAAGAGGTTCTTGAGGAGGGAGAGAGGAGTTGTTAGGGTAGGGATGGAGGAAGGAAGGAAGGGGTGAAGGGGGTCAGATTGAGGAGGAAGGAAGGGGTGAAGGGGGTCAGATTGAGGAGGAAGGAAGGGGTGAAGGGGTCAGATTGAGGAGGAAGGAAGGGGTGAAGGGGGTCAGATTGAGGAGGAAGGAAGGGGTGAAGGGGGTCAGATTGAGGAGGAAGGAAGGGGTGAAGGGGGTCAGATTGAGGAGGAAGGAAGGGGTGAAGGGGGTCAGATTGAGGAGGAAGGAAGGGGTGAAGGGGGTCAGAATGAGGAGGAAGGAAGGGGTGAAGGGGTCAGATTGAGGAGGAAGGAAGGGGTGAAGGGGGTCAGATTGAGGAGGAAGGAAGGGGTGAAGGGGGTCAGATTGAGGAGGAAGAAAGGGGTGAAGGGGGTCAGATTGAGGAGGAAGAAAGTAAAGAGAGAGAGAGAGGGGGGGGGGTAATGGTGGCCAGGAGAGGAGAAAAGGAATAGTTATAAAGCATTGAGAGAAGAATGTCAAAATCACAGAGTAAATAGTAGCAGAGGTAGAGAGATGGGTGTTATCTCTGATAAGTTAAGAGAAAGGGGGAGTGAGAGGAAAGAGAGCTAGTTAGAGAAAGACATTAAGAAAGAGAGATTGAGTGATTGAGGTAGATATAGAAATAGATACAGAATAGATACAAGTGCTAATTGTGACCAATTTTCTTCCTTTACTTTTCTGTCAGTGTCTCTTAATTGATATAGCTTTAGGGGACAATCCAAGACTTTAAGCCAGAGATCGCAGTGCAAGGTATAGGGTTGCGTTTCCCCCCCACGTGTGACAAAGTGGTTGTGGTGTGTCGTATCACCAGCGCATCCGGATTGCTTTCCCTGTGCCGCCCTCTGGCTGTGAGAATTACACTTGCAAATTGAACCGGTTGTTTTCCAAAGTTTTTTTTCCTTTTTTTTGCATGAGAGGTGTTCCCAGGTTTCGTTTTTCACAGGTTGCCCCATTTTCTTTTTCAAAGGAGAAGTAGAAATGTAGTAGTTTTTTACGTGTTTTTGTAAATTTGTGAAGAATCGGTCAAGTTGTTGAAGAAAACATGTCAAATCGCAGAAAGATTGAAGCCAGGGCTATGAAAAAATGTCAACTGCAGTACTTAACAAATCTGTAGTGAGTATCAGTTTACAGGTTGTTTTTCAAAGCGGTTGGCTTCTGAGATTTCGAGAAGACGTCACTCTCTTGGTCTGGATCTATATACCCACCCTTTCTTTGCTATCAAGATGTTTAACAGCTGTCATATATTGACTTCCATTTATTAGAATTGTGACTGAAGACGTTCTTTGCATTGTTAAACTGTAGTAGGATTAAGCCTCGGTCAAAAATGCCATTACGAACTGCTACGAACGCCGATTTTCAGACAATGGAAAAACGGAAATTCGTACGAACCTTTGTGACCATAGCATTACATGTACATCCATGGGGATAAATTTCACTGTGAAGTCCTTACCGGTAGTTCAATTTCAGGAAGACAAACGTAGCGATTCTTGGACAACACAATTTTGTCAATATTGTAATTCTTAGAACGTAATTTTCGCTTGTGGCAATGAAGATGTTCATAAGCTATAAAGATATGACATGAAGACATGCAGACATGTGGGTTTACAGAGTCCCTTCCAAAATTCTGTTGTTTTTTTCCACAAAACTTGTCATCAGTAACAAGTGACATTTTTTGTTATAAGTTACTGAAATCCTTGCTTCTGATTGGTTATCAACAGTAAGTCACTGATTTTTGTCATTTGTCATTGAAAAAAGGCTTTGTGAAACGGGCCCCAGGATGTCATGAAATCCGATAGTGTGCCATTGTCTGCATAGCAATTTTTACCAGTCCAGCGAACGTCGCGCCAGTTTATCCCCGCAACTCTCCCAGTACTGAAATGAGCAAAGGCCCCTGTCACAGCCTGCGCTGCACTAGTGCTGGCTGGCATGCAATTTGTGCAATTCAGCAGACTTCAATGCGGCATGTACACTCATCCCCGTAGATGTACCTTCCCCATCCGATGCAACACTATATGCAGTTGGGTTCACATCATGTACAATGTCTATCGCATACGTACCCACAGAGATTATTTGAGTCGATCCCAGTTAAAGCGATAGTTGAGTTTTGTTGCAGAGGGCGCTACTAAAAATAAGTTTTTGTGAGATAATGAAAAGCTGAGTGTCAAATTTGAAAGAATATAAAATTTAAATGACAATATCATCTTTTTAAAATCAAAATCAGTTCAGAGACGGCTGAAATATCCATAAATATAATGATTTCTAATTTTTGTGGTGGCCCACAAATATTCTATAATTTACACCAGCCGTTGAATAAAAGATATGTATAACGCCTTTTACGTTTTATTCCAGCCAATGCCGATGTTGGCTTTTTGATGGCTTTTTTGTGTTTGTTATAATATGCACAACCAGCTGGCCCATGTATGTATTGTTATTATTAAGTAATTATTTAATTAAAGGTCACCATATTTTTTTGAAAGTGGAGCTGAATTGGTATGATCGTATTGGCTAAATTTCACACATTTTGGGTTCTAAAATTACCTTCATAGCAATTTTAGGTCCTAAAAGAGCAGTAGAAATGTCATAAATAAGAATATAACCATGCACTTTGAAGACATTTTACGGTCTTAAACAAGAACTCAACTATCCCTTCTATCCAATCACACCTCATTGGCAACCTGGCCAACAGGCCAAGGTGTGACTGAGTTGCTGGAGTTTATCTTCATCAATTTGGTATTCAAATGAAATAGAATAAATAAAATATAGTGTTGTTATTGTGAATTCATTTTTTCATTTTTATTGTAATTTTTGTGTGTGCGAATTTGTGTGTATACGTTCATGGCATGTTCATGCGGCACTAGATGGTGCTGTCGAGCATGTACAGAAATCTGAATGCCCCTTTTGGGGTGAGTTGGAAATGCCCACAGTATTGATATGGCAAGATGGAAGAATATCTCTTTTCATAGTGTTATATCAGGCCTTCTCAACTGGCGGCACGCGCGCCACTTGTGGGGCTTGCGGTCAGTCCGAGTGGCGCGCGACTGTTGCAACAACAAAAAATAGTACTCAGCTAAATCAAGAAGTTGCAGTCGAATTTGAGCCCAAAATGCCTGCTTAACAAACAGGAAGAAAGGGGGAATTTATTGTTTTTTGCCATTTTATACGACTCTAAACCTAATCTCTGAACAAGAGTTAGCTTACGATGGGCTACCAATTTGTACATTGCCAATTTCTGGAAACATCTTGTTTTTGTTTGGTTTGATTTTCACTTTATTTTGACATTTCCCTTGTTTATTGCATCCCAAAAACTACAGTGTACATATAAATTTACCTCCAGTGTAATTGTACCCATGAATTGTACTAATATGTTCACATCAATATGAAATTAGGATTGATTATATTGTGGAATGAAATGATGTTAAAAATGCCCCATTTGGGCCTTTAGAAAGCCCTTAGATCCACCAGCTTCAGAGGGCTCCGCCCTCTGCTACCCCCCGTTGGGGCTTCGTCCCTCGACCCCATCCGTTTTCGGCATACCGAGCTAAAAATTCCTAACTCTTATTTTCAAATGTTGGCAGGTATGAGAGATAAGTAAACGAACCACTACACCACTACACTACATCCAGAAATACATGTACATGTAGATAGGTATTAATCAATTTAATTCATCAATGATAAATGTATACCTGTAGGTAGGTGGTCTTTGGGTAGGTTCTTTAGTACACATTTCAATCAGAAATGCTAATCAAGGAAAATAAAAAAAATGGTCTTGATAGATAAGTGGTCTTTCTATACAGGTGGTCGGCAAAGCAGATTTTAATATACCAGTACATGTATAAAGGAAGCCATAAACTCTAGTCTCTATTCTTATCTGTGGTCTTGTCATTAATTGTTTTCTCTGACTGGTTTTATGCTGCAGGATTACTACACAGTGCATGGCCAAGATGCTGTATTTGCTGCCAGAGAGGTGTTCAAAACTCTGGGTGTCATTAAACATCTTGGATCAGGTAAGATTTGTACAAATGCACATCAAAGGTTGCATTCATTCATTTAAATGGACCTTATCACTATGACAACCCATTGGACTATCAACTTGTGACAAGTTCTATGTGTTTTTGTTTTTTCTGTTGAAATTATTCTAAAGTTTTTTTTAATTTTTTATAGATTTCCAGAGTTGAATCACTTTCTTTTGTCTTTTGTATTTTTTCCTGATAAATTTACTATAGACACCACTCTAGTATGTCTTGCATGTTAATATACAGTGCGTCCCAGAAAAAACAAAACTGACAATTATTGATGTTTTATCATAACTTAATCAAAATTAGAATGAATAAATAATACATATTTGTAAAGCTTAGATCCTTTTCTTCCATATGACGCATATTTCACGCATGAGTGATTAAAAACAATTTGAAGAGAGGGTACTAAAAAGTCATTTAGCGGGCGGTATCTGAATTTCAAAGAGAAAATCACATTTCTAGAAAGCTCATTTTCTGCCCTTTCATAAGACTCCTCAATCAAATGAGCCAGGAATAAGAAAGTTCTGTTTGTTTAAAGTAATGCTTGCATTTCCATAATTTGATTTAAAAACGAATTCGTTTTCACTGGCTGCCTGCCGTAGCATTAGACTTACCTTCGTTTCGTTGATGATCAGCCATACATCAAGTCTTTCGTCTTTTTGTGCATGGCTGATCGTCAACGAAACAGATAATTCTAGGTTTCGTTTTTTCTAGGACCCACTGTATATGAGTTAAGTTGTCTTTCTCTGCCAGATATTCAAATTGGCCACATTGGTTGATTTTGATGTTACAGGTGCAAACAAGACGGAATCGGTGGTACTTAGCAAGATGAACTTTGAATCGGTGGTACGGGACCTGCTGCTAGTAAGACAGTACCGAGTAGAGGTGTACAGTAACCAAGCTACAGGGAAAGCCAACAATTGGACACTAGCATACAAGGTATTGCTCTTGATTATGTGCTGGGATGGATAAAGGAGTTGTTCTGGGGGGGGGGGGGCACAAGTCCAAAATATATCTTACCCTCAATTAATCATCAGCTGCTTTTTTAGCTGTAAAATTAATGTTAAGGGGCCGCAATGCACAAGTACACTTTTTATTGGAAAGGGGGGGGGGGGATTTCAGATTGTGTTTTGTGTTTTTGCAGGGGGAAGGGGGTGGAGTGGTTACAGGTTAGAAGTATTTCTTAAAAATGTGTAGCTTTAAGTTTTCAGCACCAAATTCTTTAACAAAAAGTTCTGAAAACTAAACACTGAATAAATTCCCTCTAGTTTAAATGTTGTCAGACTTCTTGTTCAACTCATTGCCTGCATGAACTAATTGGTACCTGCACCAGGCTTAGGGCAATGAAAGAACTTGGTTAGCGGTACAGATTCAGATTTTCAGGTTATTCTCTCAAAATTTGTTTTGACTTGGATTTCCTACCGTAACTTTTGCAATATGTTTGCTTTTTAGGAGTGAAATTTTGCTATATACTTTGTTCATGAATGCCCAGACCAAAATCATAAGTAGGAAAAAAAAATGTCCAGTAGAGTATTTATTTTAGCCCATCCTGCCCTATTTGTTGGAGCCCCTAGTCTTGTAGAATTGAAATAGTAATATTTTGCTATATATTGTGTTACTGCTTTCTCAGATTCTAGTCATACATGTACATGTACAAAGACAAATTGTCTGATTATTTATTTTGGTCCATGCTGCCCTAATTTTTGGAGCCCCTAGTCTTGTAGAATTGAAATAATTATATTTTGCTATAAACTGTGTTACTGCTTTCTCAGATTCTAGTCATACAATGTACATGTACAAAGACAAATTGCCTGATTATTTATTTTGGTCCATGCTGCCCTAATTATGAGTGCCCTTGGCATTGTACATGGAACCCCTGCACAAGTTCCTTTCAGGGAAATCAAGAAGTTTTCACTTTCCTCCTCAGTCAGAGTTTCCGTTTACCAGTGATCCTTGAGTTTCTAGTACCCTTGCAAAATAATGTTATTCCCCCTTGGAGCAATATCTCATTGACGCTTACTCGTGCATTGAGATTTGCCTTGTATCTATATCAGACAGATGTCAAACTCTGTATCAATATCCTGTAGGAGAGTTGTAGCTTTAAAGGGATAGTTGAGTTGTTGCAGAGGGCACTACACAAAATAATTTTTTTTGTGAGATAATGAAAAACTGAGTGTCAAATTTGAAAGAACATAATATTTAAATTACAAAATCATCTTTGTTTGATCAAAATCGGTTCAGAGACGGCTGAAATAAAACGATTTCTAAAAATTGTGTACCACCACAAATATTAAATATTTTGAAAAATTTGAAAAAAAACGTTGAAAAAAACTGCCTTTTATGTCGCATTTCCGCCAATACCAGATTCAGATGATGGCTTTTTGTTGGCATTTTCTTGTTGCTTATATTACCCACAATTAGCCGGCTCATGTATTATTATTTTTAATTAAATAATTAACGGTCACCGTGTCTTTTTGAACGTAGAGCTGAATCGGTATGATAGTATTGGCTAAATTTCACACATTTTGGGGTCTAAAAATAGCAATTTTAGGTTCTAAAAGGGCACTATTAATGTCATAGATAAGAATAAGAGCAATAACCATGCACTTTGAAGGCATTTGCGGTCTGAAAACAGAACTCAACTATCCCTTTAAAGAGAAGGTTGAACTCTGGTGAAGATGACAAACAATGTGTGAGCTCTGTGTGGAGGTGTCGTGGTCTAGTGGGTACCTCATCAGATTTGTGGTGTTCCAAGACATTAAAGGGACTTGGTATCATTGTTCAGATGAGAGAAAGTGGTGCTAAGGTAGTGACTTCAATGCAAGATGTACAAATAAAGATAATCTGAAAGTTTGAGTGAAAACAGACCATTGTAACTGATACAAATTGGGAAAAACTGATCTGATCTAGTCCAGCAGTGGCACAAATGTCCTTTGACAAGACATTAATCTACATTTGCCACACTTGACCCAGGTGAGGTAAATGGGTATCTGGCAGGAATTAATTCCTTGAAATGCTAGAGTGCCATAATGGCAGCCTTGCTAAAGCTGGGGTACTGTAGTTGTGGAGTGCTAGGAGTGTAAAGTCTGACAGACATGGGTGCTATACAAGTAATCACTATTATTATCCTGCAGGCCGCCGTGATAAATTCACAAGAGAAAACAAGTTGAGTTTAACTCTCTCCTCTCTATTTTGAGATGGTTGTCATATGACTGCTGGAATGGTTTTGTCTAGGCATTTTGACTGGCCTTTCTTACCATTAATTGTAGTATTGTAGTGTGTTTCTTAAACAGGATTTTTTAATGTTATACAAAGTGATGATGAAAGTGGTGAAGCAGGGTAGGAAACACAATTTATTTTTAAGCAAGTGAACAATGTATTTTATTGGTTGCAATAACAATCAGAGTAAAATGCTGTACATGCATTTAGTTTGAACCGTGTCATTTTCTTCTTTTATCTTTTATTCAATGATTCTGATATATTGATTGAAAAGTGATCTCTGGGGAAAACACTTTTAGTGAGACAGGTAAGACCTATACTGTTGTTTGGATCGTGACACCTCTGTGTTTACTCACCAAAACAAAAACAACACCAGATTCACGAACTAGTTGAGGAAACCCAACTCTCCAGCATCAAATTTGTTCTGTTTTTCTTCTCCTCCATCTCCCATTAGGCTTCTCCAGGCAATCTGACCCAGTTTGAGGAAATCCTCTTCGGTAATAATGACATGTCCAGCTCGGCCTCTGTCATGGCGGTCAAGGTGACCGGAGAGAGCGGACAGAGACTGGTCGGGGTAGGGTACGCCGATGCAACGCTGAGGGAGCTGGGCGTGTCAGAGTTTGCAGATAATGACCAGTTCTCAAACCTAGAGGTGAATAAGGAGGAGGATTTTATGCATCAAATTATTTAAAGGCCAACTGCAGTCCAAAAATGTTTTTGCTTTCGGGAGAAGCAGAAAATAAATCAAAGGAACAGATAAATAAGGAAAATATTGTCCAAATAGGAAATAAATAGGAGAGTTATGAAATGACATGAAAATGGCAGATTGATGGAGGAAAAATTGGTAACTCAGTCAGGAGTTTGTCACCTAATTCTTTCACCTTTCACCCATTGTTTATGATGTCAGTAGCTTTTATTTGATTAAATCACCTATCTAAGAAAAAACAAACACCTCTAACAATTGGTGACTGTATCAGTATTGTTCCTATGTTTTCTGTCTGCGATCAAATGTCAACAAAAAGACCTTCAAAGAAGTCTTTATTGGAGATAAGAGGGGCGTTCGATAAGTTCATAGCCCGACTATGAAGAGCAGGTACTCATTGACGTAATTTTGTCTTATGAATATTTCATCTTTCCCATTACAGGTGACAAAATTTACGTTAAACAGCATCCCCACCATTGACTATGTCAATCGATGTTGTTCAGCAACGTGCAGTCTTCCAATATTCCATAGTGTTCCAAAAGAAGGAGCTGAAGGATATGCACGAGGAGCTGGTGGAAACATTAGTAGGCTCTTGCGGATTCCACAGTGGCAACATTAGTAGGCTCTTGCGGACTCCACAGTGAAGAAACGGACAGCTCTCTTCAGCTCTCTTCAAATCTCTCATCCTCTCGGGGCACAGTACAGGTTCAAGATCACCTTGGGCAATGCTTTTTCACCGTGCCCCTCAAAGCAGTCAATATTTGTTAAGTATTATCCTAAATATCTTTCTGTTCATTATTCATCAGGCACTCATGGTGCAGCTTGGCCCAAGAGAATGTCTGCTGCCCTCTGGTGGTGACCCTAATAATCCTGAGTTCAGTAAGCTGAGACAGGTTGTGCAGCGTGGTGGGGTGCTCATCACAGATCGTAAGAAAGTGGACTTCACGACCAAGGACATCATTCAGGATTTGAATCGTCTTCTGAAGGTTGGGAGGAACGTAGAGCAGGTCAACAGTGCAGCCCTACGTAAGAAATCCCGTCAGGTTTTTTTAGAATTTATTTTTGAAACAAAATGGCATTTAATTCCTTTCTTTTTTAAACATGCAGGTGCTCATTGTAATTGAATAGAAGCATTGCATAATGCAAATATATATTTCAAAATTCTTACTGTGGAATGTTAGTCTTCTTTAAAGCACCTAGGGCCCATTGCATAGAAGGTGCAATAACATAACTAAATATGTTCAGAATTATACAATATATCAAATTATAACTAGTTTGTGACTTCATAGCTAGAACTACCTTCTTCCAGTTAAGTGCCGCTTCTATTTGTATATATAATAATTCACCACCACTCCAGTATTTCCTAGACCCATTTAAAAAAAAAAAAAAAAAAAAATTGTAATTCTTGCCAGGTTTATTTTCAATTGGTTCATCATTGTATTTATGATAATGCTCTTTTTTTCTCTTTCCAGCTGAGATGGAGAAAACGAATGCCATGGGATCCGTGTCGGCTCTTATCAAGTACATGGAGGTAAGGTAGCTTAGGGACAGGCAGTGGCATGAAAACAGGCGTCCGGAACGCAAAAACACAGAATTGTTGGAAATCATGATTTTATCACACAGAGGTAGAACCACATCATTAAGATGCGGAGCTGGTAAAGAAGGTTCTATCTTGATTAGGTTTAAAGGTAAAGACCAGTTTTGGAAACGCCCCCCTCTCAAAAAATGAAATGGAAGCTCTTATTACCAATCATGTGAAAGAACATGTTTTGAATAATACGCGATCATACAAATTTTGCAGAGAAACAGTCTACTGATTGATATATTTGGTAAATTATTATATCTATTTGGACCTGATAGATATAATACACATGATACATAATATACATATTTCTGTGTACAGTGCTTGTAACTTTACCAAGACTGGACCAAATTTCTTATCATTTTGATGATTCCAAAACCTTGCAGTACACACCAATACTGATATGCTAGATGATCAACCTTTTCTGATCAAATCCACAACGTTTCTTTCACAATGCGATCGCATGACCATAACTGGTCTTTATCTTTAATATTATCTGATGTTTTAAAAAAAGAATTTAAAATGAGCAAATATCACTTACTAACTAATATGCCTTTTGCATAAACATCTTGTATTGAATTTGAAATTATCCCCATGAAAAGATTTCAACCTAAACATAATGCTTTTTCTCCACATATCATATTTTTGCTATACAATGCAATGAGCAAACGTTTTCCAGTATGTGTTTATACCCTAGTGTCATAGGCAGTTTAAACGGCTCAAATTTATATAGTGAATCTTCAGAAGTTTTAGGTGCAGAAAAAACATTTTATTTTTAAAGTTTTAAATAGGTAATGGATTGTGATATTGTGTGATATTACATGTCATGGAACAGTGTTTGAATCAAGAATAACAACACAACAAGACACTATTTATTGAAAATATAGTTGTTTTTAAACTAAGAAGCATCTTGACAGTTTAAGTAGTTGTAAAATCTCTTTTTATTTTAGACATAGATTTATATGAGATTAGTGCAGAGGATCTTTAAAGAGAAGGTTGAGTTCTGGGAAGAGGTGAAAATAATTTGTGAGCGTTATTAACCAAGTGTGGAAGAACATGAGATAAAAAAGTTCCCTGAAAAGCATGGCTCTTCAAATGCCTTAATATTCTAGATATGGCATGTAACAGCATAAAAATTGGGACAGATTTTTATGCCACATGTTTGTGTAATCCCATATACATATTTCTATGTACAGGGCTTGTAACTTTACCAAGATTTGGCCAAATTTCTTATCATTTTGACGATTCCAGAACCTTGCAGTACACACCAATACTTACATGCTAGATGATCAACCTTTTCTGATCGATTCCACACCGCTTCTTTCACAATGCAGTCACATGACCAGAACTCAACTTTATCTTTAAGGATTTCCTTTTACTTCATATTACATAAACGTAAATGTAAATGATCTCTCTGATGTATTATCTCAATTTTTCTCTGAAGCTCCTGGGTGATGAGACTAACTTTGGTCAGTTCAAGCTAACAACCTTTGACCTGAGTCAGTACATGAAGCTAGATGCTGCTGCTGTACGGGCTCTCAATCTAACATCAACTGGCCCAGAGAGTGAGTATAGACTCAGTCATGACACTACCGTATTTGCCGGCGATAAGGCCGCAGGGCCGCATTGGCCGCACCCAAACTTTGACATTTCAAAGAGGGAAAAAAAAAAAAAAAAGGAAAAATAACCAACGGACAAAACAAAATAATCATAATTTTCTTTTTTTTTAATCTTCAAACTGATACCAAATTCATCAATATTCTTATAATTTACCGGAAGTTTAGCTCAAAAAGTGATCGCGGGCAGATTTGGTGTCCGATATATACCCCTACCACAATGTACGGTGTAATGCGAAACTGCATGAAATGGAAAACAAAATGGCGACTTCGGATGGATGCTTTGTGGCAGCTCCGTTAAATGGTCCCTTCCTTTACTTTTGCAATGCATTAGCACGAACTTAGATCAAGATCTATCGGCAAATGTTGGTTTAGCAATTTATTTTCGTATTCATGTCAACAATGCAAGATAAAATTGTCGGTAAGATGTGTTGAAATGTCCTGTACTATAGTGGTATAGTTATTGTACTGTTCGTAGTCCCATATGTGCAAATTCTTGCTGGTTTTGACTTAATGACTTGATTTTTTTTTTTTACTGTTTCGCCGTAAAGGCCGCACTCCAACTTTTTGATGTTTTCTCTTCCAAAAATACTGCGGCCTTTACGCCGGAAAATACGGTAATTGTATAGCACCCAGAGACATTTGTATCAAGGGTAATATAAATGGTACTATTGTAAAGGAGGAGAGATGGCTCAGTGGTAGAGCAGTTTTCTCGTAACAGGGAGGTCTAGGGTTCGAAACTAAGTCAATGTACTAGTACCCTTTGGTAAGGTATTAATCCTCATTACCAAGTCCATCAGACAGGACCTCAAGCCGTCGTTCCCCCGTTTGGTTACTTGCAAGCTTAAACATGCTTTCTTAGTAGTCAGGTAAAACAAACATGCAAAATAATGTTGTTGTGATTTGGCCGGGCTCCACTTGAACCACTTCTGTGCACAGGGAGTGTGTGCATTTACATTTTAGGGTCTGTCATGCATGGGTCCTCTGTTCAATTTTAAATTGGGGGGTCCAGAGTCAGAGTTTTTGTGTCCATGTCCATGATCTGCTTGTTAGTTATAATCCTTGATATTGTACATCATATCATCTTTAGTAAGTGTTCTGAAATCATGAAATATTTTATCCACAAAATGTTTTCTGGTAACATTCTAGGGTGTTTTTTTTATGCCTCCGCCACCGAAGGTGGTGCCGGAGGCATCATGTTTTCGGGTTGTCCGTCCGTACGTCCGTACGTCCGTCCATCCCGTTTGACCGTTATCACAATATCTCAAGAACCATTTAAGATTTAAACTTAAGACTCGGGAATAGTATTTATCACCATAGGAAGACGATCTGATTAGATTTTGGAGTACGTAGGTCAAAGGTCACAGGTCACAGAGGTCAACTTATGAAATTCCTTGTATTGAGTTTGTTAGCGCGATATCTCAAGAACCATTTGAGATTTAAACTTCAAACTTAAGGATAGTATGTATCACCATAGGAAGACGATCTGATTAGATTTTGGAGCACGTATGTCAAAGGTCAAGGGTCACAGAGGTCAACTTATGAAATTCCATACATTGAGATTGTTATCATGATATCTCAAGAACCACTGGAGATTTAAACTTCAAACTTAGTGATAGTGTGTATCACTATAGGAAAACAATCTGATTACATTTTGGAGCACTTAGGTCAAAGGTCAAGGGTCATAGAGGTCAACTTATGAAATTCCATACATTGAGATTGTTATCATGATATCTCAAGAACCACTGGAGATGTAAAAACTTCAAACTTAAGGATAGTATGTATCACCATAGGAAGACGATTTGATTAGATTTTGGAGCACGTAGGTCAAAGGTCAAGGGTCACAGAGGTCAACTTATGAAATTCCATACATTGAGATTGTTATCATAATATCTCAAGAACCACTGGAGATTTAAACTTCAAACTTGATGATAGTGTGTATCACCATAGGAAGACAATCTGATTAGATTTTGGAGCACGTAGGTCAAAGGTCAAGGGTTACATAGGTCAACTTATGAAATTCCATACATTGAGATCGTTATCGCGATATCTCAAGAACCACTGGAGAATTTTCACTTCAAACTTAATGATAGTATGTATCACCATATCATAATATCTCAAGAACCACTGGAGATTTAAACTTCAAACTTAATGATAGTGTGTATCACCATAGGAAGACAATCTGATTAGATTTTGGAGCACGTAGGTCAAAGGTCAAGGGTCACAGAGGTCAACTTATGAAATTCCATACATTGAGATTGTTATCATGATATCTCAAGAACCACTGGAGATTTAAACTCCAAACTTGTTTAAATTGCTCTATGGCGGAGGCATCATTTTCGACTGCGCGCAGTCAAAATTCCATCTAGTTTTATTCTTTTATTTATACTTCAACCATTCCAAACATGTAGGAATGTTCAATGTGACCGATACTTGACCAGCGTTCTACTTTTATTTCTACAGAAGACATCAACGGAGGAATGAGCCTGACCAGTCTACTCAACAAATGCAAAACTGCCCAGGGTCAAAGGTTATTAGGACAGTGGGTCAAGCAACCACTGCTTGACAAAATTAGAATTGGTAAGATGTTTTTGGTATTGTCAAGTTAGAAGATGATCTTAATTAATGGTGGCGGTTCTATGCTCCATGGTCCATTTTGTCTGTGCTAATTCCTAATTTTAATCCTAAACCTAACCTAAAAAATCCTAATCCTAACATTAAATGTTGGTTCACTGGTCCACAGGGATTGCATTTTTCAGTGGAAAGATTCTCAGTTGTTTGAGACTTGTGTTAAAACTTTAGTTGAGAAGTGACTCTTGTTGATTTGAAAGTTTTCTTTGATTCTTCGCTCATGAATTCGAAACCTTAAAATATGTCTGTAAAATAAGAATGAAAATTTGTTTTTTCTACGTCCCATGTAGTACCAAGTATCCTGGGATTTAGAACAATTGTTCAATGAAAATATTGTTTTCTTTGATATTTCGTCTGATCCTTACTATACTTAAGTAATATTGACTGCCTTCTGGGCAATACGACATATATCGCCCAATCCAAAGGTGAGGGTGATATATGACAAGTCGTATTGCCGTGAATTAGGCAGTCAATATTACTATTATTAACCACATCAGACATCTAGAGCAAACAAGAAACTCATACTATCTTATACTCTTAAATTATGTAGCCTACACTGCACAGGATTTCCTAGCATTAGAAGTTGCAAAAACATTGTCAAACCAGCACTGTGCATCCAGTGCTTGTCAAATTTTTCGATACACTGCAAAAAGTGTGCCTAGGGTGTGATTGTTACGTCACAATAGAGTTCGCGCATAGTGTGCATTTTCTTATACGCGTAATATACCAGCAGCTGGTGCGCGATGAAATTTACAACTGGCTCGATTATTGCTCACTAGTTTAACACGCATTTTGCCATTGACTTTTCAGATCGGGAAATAATATTTGTTCATTGGTTTACTGTATGACCTTATTGACCGGCAAATTACAAATAAAATCCCATTGACTTTTCTGAGCGGTCAATAATTGAGGGCAATAACATTTAAAAATTGCCTTGCTCAGATGTCTGATACGGTTAATAATATCATATATCCTATCTGAAACATGTATAACATAATCTGCCTCTACAACCTCTATAACTGACTGGCACGTACTCAAACTTACACTTATGCAGAGGAAAGGCTAGACATGGTGGAAACATTCTTCAACGACCTAGAGCTTCGTCAGACGTTGCAAGAAGAGCCACTGAAGAGGGTTCCAGACTTCCAGCGCTTGGCCAAGAAGTTCCAGCGCAAGAGGGCGACGCTCCAGGACTGCTACAAGGTGTATCAGGCTGTAGATTATCTTCCAAACTTGATCGAGATCCTAGAGAAGCATGAGGGTGACAAGGCTCATCTGCTCAGAGAACATTTCTCTAATCCTCTAACGGTAAGAGAAATGGCTTACTGTACCTAATCTAAGGAATAGTCATCGCCAATGGCTATCCTGTGTACCTGACTATGTACCCAATTGCTCTTAAGTTTACATCATCCTGATTGAGATCCTAGAGAACAGGCCTGATAATTACCCGATTTAAATCGGTTTCCTGATTTATTAATTTTTTCCTCCCGATTTTACCCCTATTTTCCTGATTTTCCCCTTATTTTCCCAATTTTCTTACTCAAAAGGGGGGGGGGGGGGGAATTTAGTCAGATGCAAGAGTTGAGGGGAAAAAAGAAAAAAAATTGTTAGTGCTCACTTTCACTCCTGAGAGGAGCATGAGGGTGATGAGGCTTATCTGCTGAGAGAAATCATCACCCATCCTCTAAAGGTCAGACCAACTCTGAGAGAAATCATCACCCATCCTCTAAAGGTCAGACCAACTCTGAGAGAAATCATCACCCATCCTCTAAAGGTCAGGCCAACTCTGAGAACTCATTTTGTGAGCCCAAACTAGATTCAAACTGATTGCCTTTCATTTGTGAAGGCACATGCTTTAATACCAATTGAGTTGTATGTCCTTTAACACAGCATTAATAAACATTTACTGTCAACCAAGGTGTAGTCAATAGGCCTGTCTTCACTAGCTCGAGATTGCAAAATATCCCGCTACTTGAACTATCCCGATCCCAAACTATCCAACTATTTTGCGTCTTCATCAGCCCGAAGTTGCAATTAGCGGGATATTTGGTCGGGATTGTCATCCCAAGATGTCTTGGGACAGTTTGCAAAATATCTAGCTATTTTCCGGTGCGTTTTCACCAGACCGAAGACTCGCACTATGCGCAAACGTTGAGCAAAATATATTGAGCTAATTTCTCAAGGTCGAGTTTCAAATTTCGAGGTCGAATCTCGAGCTGTTGAAGATGCGATTTGTAACTTCTGGATTATTTCCCAAATCAGAAATAGCAGGCTATTTGCCAATCTCGAGATGATGAAGACGCGCCTATTGGGTATGAACGCTTTCAGCACCTTGGGGCAGCTTGACGAAAGCCAAGATAAGAGCTGCTCTAGGTGCCTTGAGCATCTCTAGATACATTGATGTGTCCAATTGAAATATACTGGGGGTTATTATTATTAATATTATCATTATCATCGTTGTGTTGTGATGATATCATTTCTATAATAATAATGAATAAGAATAACATTTAGCTGTGGATATTGTGTTTTATACATGTATCCCGCATACTAAGAATCTTGCAATCTGATTGGTCTAAACGAGGTCACATGATCAATGCGATAGTACTTTTGTACAGTATTTTTTTTGCTGCTGCCCCACTTGCCCATTGAAAAAAGCATAGCAAAGTAGGTTACGCGAAATGTCAGTGTTTTTTTAAGACCAAACTACAACATTTAAATCAATAAATTGTTAGATTTTTATGGCTATACTAATACTATGCTGCTTACACAAAGAGTCTAGACCTAAATACTACCTGAAGCTAAACTGTCTGCAGAATCAGTTCTTTTAATTATGTGAAATTCACTTTAAATAGACCTTATTGCCGATGTGGGATATAAAACAAATATTAACCTCTTTTACTCGAGCAATGGATACAAACTCATCGCCTCGGTGATCTCGGGGCTACCATCATCCCTCGTAGTCGATTAATGTTTGCTTACCATGTGATTCAGGAGATGCTGATGGACTTCTCCAAGTTCCAGGAGATGGTTGAGACGACCCTTGACCTGCAGCAGGTGGAGAACCATGAATTCCTCATCAAGCCGGACTTTGATGAAAACTTAATGGGTGAGTGACTCCCTCCTTCTGGCCAGTGCTGTGTTCTAGGTCTTTCTTTTTCATTATGTTTTCGGGTTGTCCGTCTGTCCGTCTGTCCCGTTCTCGTGATCGCGTTATCTTAAGAACCGATTGATGGATTCCTGCCAAACTTTGGTCATGTATGTAACTTGGAAAGCTAATGAACTGATTAGATTTTGGGGTCACGAGGTCAAAGGTCACAGGGCTCATTATGTATGCACAAATAACTTGTGATCGCGTTATCTCAGGAACAGATTGATGGATTCCTGCCCTACTTAGGTCATGCTTGTATCTTGCAGTGCCAATGAACTGAGTAGATTTGGGGGTCATGAGGTCCAAGGTCAAAGGTCATGAAGCTCATTATGTATGCAAAAATAACTGGTGAACGCATTCTCATTAGAACTGATGGATGGATTACAATTAAACTTAGGAAATGTATATCTTGCAAAGCCATTGAACTGATTAGATTTTAGGGTCATGAGGTCAAAGATTAAAGGGTCATACATGTATATGAGAAATAGCTAGTAATCACAATATTCTGAGAACCCTGTTAATGGATTACAATCAAACTCGAATTTGAAAAATTGCTTCTGTTTTGGTTTGTAAAATTGCTCCATGACGAAGGCATCATTTTCGACTGTTTTGATCATGTCTTGCCTTTGATATTACATTCATTTTATCTTTTGGTAATTATTTATTCTCATCTATTCATGTATAGTTAACACTTCAGCTCTCTGCACAGTCACTTGTTTGCCACACAATAGGCACCAAATGTTTCATACAATGGTTTGACAAAACTAGCCATTTCATCCTTGATCAGCTCCATGACAACCCTTTTAACCCTGCTATAGATTGAAGACAAAGGTGAGTTTGGGTAAAAAAAAGAAAATGAATTCTCACAGAATCAAATGAAACTGACACTAAATGTTCAAGATTACAAATAAATGTCATTTGCCAAACAATTTTGGTAGAAAATGTACACTGGCTGAGTAATGAGCATAGAAAGATTAGGAAATCAAGGCCAGTAGCCCAACACCATTTGTGTAGTCCTGTACACATATATCTGTGTACAGTGCTTGTTACTTTACCAAGACTGGGCCAAATTTGTTATGATTTTTATGACTCCAGAACTTTGCAGTACACACCAATACTTACATGCTACATGATCAACTGTTTCTGATCCATTCCACACCTTTTCTTTCGCAATGCAATCGGATGACAAACACTCACCTTTATCTTGAATCTTGCACTGGAAACAGTAAAAAAATCATGAAAACTTTGGTATATCTGTTTCATGAATACATTGAGGTACAGAGAGATTATGTGTGTGGCATATAAAGAGTTAATTCTGCTTTAAAGACCACCTGTCTCTATCAATGTTTTTTTTTAGTCTATGTGAAAGATTCCTTAGGGTTTCGATCCATGGCGAACAAAGAGATAATAAATTTGGAAAATCCTCTGGTTCTGCAAGCAAGTGTTTATGCAGCAATTACTTTTGAAATATGCATTTTATTTATTTTTGTGTGTGAACAGTTCTGAGAACCAAGATGGATGAGCTTGAGGATGAAATCAAAACTCAGATAAACAGGGCAGCGAGAGATCTGGGATTGGAAGCCAACAAGACTGTCAAGCTAGAGTCTAATAATATGCTTGGATACTTCTTCAGAGTCACAAGAAAGGTATTAAGGGCATTTTGCTATTGCATATACTGTTCCTAAATTGGTTGCCATGACTGTTAAGTGGGAACATTAATGCTAAAAATTAAATTGCAAACAAAATTTATATATTGAGTTTGAAATATGTCTTCTAATAAAAATGAATTTCAGCAGGATAAAAACCTTGAAAAATGCAGCTTTCTTTTAAATCAACTACTGCGCTGTTGAATGGAACAGCTGCACCTTTCACCCCTTGAAATTCTTGATGATCTCACCAATAAACATTTCATAAGAACAAACTGGAATAGTACAATTTTGACCACTGGAGTTATTTGATGCAATCACATGCATCAAATTTGATGCAAGCACATGCATCAAAATTTCATACATATGTATGAAATTTTGAGGTCATGTTAGATTTCTTGTGGGTCACAATGTAAAGCAAGAAAGCACCTTCCCCTGTTTAATCTGAAATGGTTTGAATGTGCCGTATATTTTGGAGGAAAATTGTCCACTTCAACCTTGTAGAAAGAGAAATCTTTAAGAAATATGATATAGTCCTCCATTTACACTGATAAGATTTATGAATCTTTAAAGTGTTTTCTAGGTAGCATTAATAGTTGTACTTCAATTTTCTTTCTTCCACTTTTATCTTGTCAAAACTTATACCTTTTATCTGTTTAGGAAGAGAAAGCCCTGAGAAATAACAGCAAGTATTCCACTATAGACACCAACAAGAATGGTGTGCGCTTCACAAACTCCAAGCTACGAGGGTTGAATGATGAACACATGGCTGCCAAGGAGGAGTATAACGAGACCCAGAAGGCTGTGGTGGATGAGATCATTGGGATAGCTTGTGAGTATCATCTGCTGTGCTGTTAGTATGATAGGCATAGATTGATTGATTGATTGATTTTATTTTTTCCATTTCATACATCAATTGTTTGCACAATAAAAACAAAGTTAACAAAGTAAGTTCAAAATTATGAATTGAAACAGGAACCTACTGGAAAGCATAGCTTGTTTTTGTAGGTTCCCAAGAATAAATATAAAAGAACATTATTATCATAAATCATTTGAAAGTGTCTTAATAATCACAGTAAAATAGATGTAATATAATAACATTTTCATAAAATTTTTAGAGTATCTAAATAATCGAAATATAAAAAAAGAACAGAATTACAAGACGGGCACAAAGGACAGGAAACTGACATAATAAGATAAGACAAGACATTACCCCAAAACAGGAAAGTTGTGGCAAACCAATTTGGGGATTTACTGAATGATGGCCATTTTTGCAGCAGAAAACTTTTGTAAATTGCAAAAAATATCTATGAATCTGATGCATTGTAAAATTCATCAACCTTTTAATGCATCCAAAGCTTCTTCGTTTCCAGAAAAGATGATGTAGTGATTCTCATAATGTAAATTGATTGGTCTTAGAAGCAGCAAAACATGAGCCTACTAAAGAAAACTCGCTGGAAATCATATTTAATAAAACTGTTTTTATGTCTGGATGGTTGGCTCACTTGTTTATCTTTATTTGCCCATTCCAAATGATGCACCTATAACACGTTTTTAACAAAGTTTGTGTGGCAGTTATCATTTATTTGTAGTTTTGATCATTCCTTTTAAATTTGGCTGGAATCTGTGAAATTGTTGGTCTCTGTCATAACCAGAACTTAATATTACCTGTACAGTAACATGATTATTTTAAGCTTGTAATTAATGCAGGCAATACGATTGCCACTGTTATGATTCTTGTGTCAATAATATATAATAATACACAAGATTTATTAGGCGCTTAATACGGGTGTTTCTAAGTGCACCATTGTCTGACTTAAAGATAAAGGTGAGTTCTGGTAATGCGATTGCATTGTGAAAGAAAAGGGGTGGAATGGATCAGAAACAGTTGATCATGTAGTATGTAGGCGCTTAATACGGGTGTTTCTAAGTGCACCATTGTCTGACTTAAAGATAAAGGTGAGTTCTGGTAATGCGATTGCATTGTGAAAGAAAAGGTGTGGAATGGATCAGAAACAGTTGATCATGTAGTATGTAAGTATTGGTGTGCACTGCAAGGTTCTGGAGTCATCAAAATCATAATAAATTTGGCAGAGTCTTGGTAAAGTAACAAGCACTGTACACAGAAAGCTATATATGGGACATCACATGTTGTCAGGGCTAGTACTACCTTGATTTCCTTGTCTTTCTATGCTCATTACTCAGCCAGTATACATTTTCTTCCAAAATTCTTTGGCACATGTCATTTATTTGTAATCTTGAACATTCAGTGTAAGTTTCGTTTGATTCTGTGAGAATTAATTTTCTTTTTTTTACCAGAACTGGAGCTTATCTTTAAAATTACCAACTGAAAATATACTTTCCAATTCGTTTCATTGCTGCAGCTGGATATGTAGAGCCAATGCTGAGTATGAATGACATCACTGCACAACTTGATGTACTAGTCAGGTAAATTATTTCTTAACGTTGATACGTTTCATTTGTCATGCTCGAAATATGGATATAATTCATGTTTCTGTTTATTCTCAAATGTTGTTGAATCATCATAGCTTGAAAATGAGATTTCCACCTTTGTCAGCAATTAGAATTCCTTAAATGTAGTGAGCCCCATTGTGTTAAACAATAATTATAGCGATGAATCTTGTCCCTGTTAGGTATGTGTTATAGGCATTGAATATAGTTGCATACATGCCAACTGTTCAGATTAAAGAGGAACATTCCTCTTTTTGGGAGAAGATAATTATCATTTTAATGCAGGTGTTCCTCTTCCTGTACAAATTTGTCTGTAGTATTGAATAGGAGAGTTAGGATTGTTCCTCTTTTTTTTTAAATAGCATAATTTGTACAGATTTCTGATTTTCAAATGTTGGCATGTATGTAGTTGTAGTATGTCATATTTATGGAAATGAGCTTCTACAATTTCATCTCTAAGGAATTGCTTGACCACCATTCTTCTTTGGACAGATCAGAACATTCATATCCAAGAGACAGTAATTTAATTCTTTGATGTGATGTCAATTCAGAAGATATGATGTGGACAGTGTACCTCATGCTTTATAGATAGAACCCCAGCGATTATCTCTTTCAGGTGTGACCAGTTTTATCGTTATTGATCAGGTCTGACCAACCCTTGAAGCCATAAGCAAGCAGTCAGTACCATTCTTAAAGGGATCCGGTATCTTTGTCTTAGATCCTTCTGAAATCCTTGATTTAGCTTGTGCTGCAATGATAATAATAAACCATTAGGTCAGTCTGGAACCCCATGACTTTTACAAGCCGGTCGCCTGTCTGATTATCAAGATATTTATGATTGAAAATCGAAATCAAATTTTGCATTTGCCAAACGGTTTTCATAACACTACAGTCTATTGGGGAAAACTAGTATGGTAAAACCGGTCACTCAAAGGTTTTTACTTTTTTGAGGCACTTCTTGATCATTTTGAAGCGCAATTCTTTTAGGGCTTCAATATAACAATATATTACAGACACTGATACCATGTACGGCCGTGCATCTCAGATTTAACATTGTTAAACGATCCCTTTAACAGCATATTCTCCTTTCTTTAAAGCTTTGCCCATGTATCAGCTGGAGCTCCGATCTCCTACGTCCGACCCACACTGCATGCGCAGGGAGAGGGCCTCCTGCATCTTGTACAGTCCAGGCATCCGTGTCTAGAAATGCTTGATGATGTGGCCTTCATACCTAACAATGTTACCTTTGATAAGGACAAGCAAATGTTCCACATCATTACTGGGCCCAACATGGGCGGCAAGTCTACATTTATCAGACAGGTAGAGCATTCAAAATCTTCCAAATTTACTTTTATTTGATTAAAATATTTTGTATTTTTTAACCAAATAGTATTTTGTAGTTGAATTACACAGATTAATTTTGGTGACAATTCAACCTTACATTGATCTACAGGAGTAATGGATTCTAGCCCCAGCATGACACTTTATGTCCTTAAAGAGAAGGTTGAGTTCTGGGAAGAGGTGACAAATAATTTTTGAGCACTATCATTGTATTATGCAAGCACGGATGAACAGATAAAAAATGTTCCCTGAAAAGCAAGGCTCTTCAAATGCCTTAACATTCTAAATATGGCATGTAACATCATAAAAATTGGGATGGATTTTGATGGCACATGTTAGTGTAGTCCCATATACATCTTTCTGTGTACAATGCTTGTAAATTTACCAAGACTGGGCCAAATTTCTTTGCTTTTTGATGATTCCAGAACCTTGCAGTACACACCAATACTTATATGCTAGATGACCTTTTCTGATTGTTTCCACACTATTTCTTTCATAATGCAATCGCATTACCAGAACTCACCTTTATCTTTAATCAAGACCTGTCCTATCAAGACCTGTCCATCCAGGTGTGAAATGAGGATACATTAGGGTACAAATGCCATTGTAGGATGATGATATCATATAATGTGTGATGTGTTGTTGAATATGATTGGTGTTGTAATGCCAAGTAAAATAATTTTGAAGATAAATATATCAATAAAATGTAATAGAGGTACCCAAAACAACAACTAATTGTCTTAAAAAGAACTAGTTTCTGTCAAGAATGTTGCACAAAGTCATTCATCAAATTCATTATTTGACCCAGGTTGGTGTGATAGTCCTGATGGCTCAGATCGGTTGCTTCGTACCCTGTGATACGGCTGAGATCTCCATCGTGGACTGCATCCTGGCCAGAGTAGGAGCAGGAGATTGTCAGCTTAAAGGAGTCTCTACTTTCATGGCTGAGATGCTAGAGACAGCATCGATCCTAAGGGTAAGTCAAGCAATATCCTCGTTAGTCAATTAGCTTTCAACTAGCTTAGGGTAAGTCAAGAAATATACCCATTAGTCAACTAGCTTAGGGTAAGTCAAGCAATATCCTCATTAGTCGGCTAGCTTAGGGTAAGTCAAGCAATATCCTCATTAGTCAACTAGCATAGGGTAAGTCAAGCAATATCCTCATTAGTCAGCTAGCTTAAGGAAAGTCGAGCAATATCCTCATTAGTCAACTAGCATAGGGTAAGTCAAGCAATATCCTCATTAGTCAGCTAGCTTAAGGTAAGTCAAGCAATATCCTCATTAGTCAACTAGCTTAGGGTAAGTCAAGCAATATCCTTGTTAGTCAACTAGCATAGGGTAAGTCAAGCAATATCCTCATTAGTCAACTAGCATAGGGTAAGTCAAGCAATATCCTCATTAGTCAACCAGCTTAGGGTAAGTCAAGCAATATCCTCATTAGTCAGCTAGCTTAGGGTAAGTCGAGCAATATCCTCATTATTCAGCTAGCTTAGGGTTAGTCAAGCAATATCCTCATTAGTCAACCAGCTTAGGGTAAGTCAAGCAATATCCTCATTAGTCAACCAGCTTAGGGTAAGTCAAGCAATATCCTCATTAGTCAGCTAGCTTAGGGTATATGTCGAGCAATATCCTCATTATTCATCTAGCTTAGGGTTAGTCAAGCAATATCCTTATTAGTCAACCAGCTTAGGGTAAGTCAAGCAATATCCTCATTAGTCAGCTAGCTAAGGGTAAGTCATGCAATATCCTCATTAGTCAGCTAGCTTAGGTTTAGTCAAGCAATATCCTCGTTAGTCAACCAGCTTAGGGTAAGTCAAGCAATATCCTCAGTCAAATTTATGTGACATTCATGTTTTCCATTTGTCTTTGCAGTCTGCCACAAGCAACTCACTGATCATCATAGATGAGCTGGGACGAGGGACCTCTACTTACGACGGATTCGGCCTAGCATGGGCCATTTCAGAGTAAGGATCAGATTTAAAGTGATTGGTTATCAATGATTACCATAGAACATGATAACTAGACATACCGGTAGTTATAGGAAATATCTGTGTATGCATGTACATATACCATTCCAGACTGGTGATACTGTACTTTCAAAATATACTCATTAAAAAGAACATCAAATCTTCATAGCAGACAGAATTGTGATTGTTATTTGTTGCCATAACCTACATAACCCATTATTGGTGGGAAGTAGATCGTTCCTGTACTAACCCAGGGCAATCAGTAATCAGTACGTTGAATTTGATGGACAAATTTTGATTTCAATATTCATCATACTCTCAAAGTAGTTTAATACATCTGCTGTGTTAATGAAGATGTTCACAGAATGATACTAAAGCTGTACATCTCTGCTTGCCCAACAACATGGAGATTTGAAATACAATATCCCAATAAAATGAATATTTTACTTTTGTTTGTCAGATACATCGCCAGTAAGATCTGCGGCTTCTGCCTGTTTGCAACCCACTTCCATGAGCTGACCGCCCTAGCTGATGTCATCCCTACGGTCAATAATCTTCATGTGACTGCTCTAACATCAGACGGTCAGCTCACACTCCTCTATAAGGTCAAGCCTGGTAAGTAAATCATAGGGATTATAACATTAAACTGTATACCGTATTTGCCGGCGTAAAGGCCGCAGTATTTTTGGAAGAAAAAATATCTAAAAGTCGGGGAGCGGCCTTTACGACGAAAGAGTAACAAAATGTTTTTTTTTTAAAGTCAAAACAAATACAAATTTGCACGTATGGGATTAGAAACGGTAAAATAACAATACCACTATGGTACAGGACATTTCCAAACATCTTACCGACAATTTTATCTTGCATTGTTGACATGAAGACGAAAATAAACGTCCTAACACAACATTTGCCGATAGATCTTGATCTAAGTTCGTGCCAATGCATTGCAAAGGTAAAGGAAGGGACAGTCTATCGGAGCTGCCGCGACAACCATCCGAAGTCGCCATTTTGTTTTTCCATTTCATGCAGATTCGTATTATACCGTACATTGTGTAACGGACACCAAATCTGCCTGCGATCACTCTTTTAGCTAAACTTCCGGTAAATTATAAGAATATGGATGAATTTTGTATCAGTTTGTAAAAAAAAAAATAGTGTTTTCGAGAAAATTATGATTATTTTGTTTTGTCCGTTCGTTTGTTTTTGTTTTTGTTTCCCCCCCCCCCCCCTTTGAAATGTCAAAGTTGGGGGTGCGGCCTATGCGGCGGTGCGGCCTTATCGCCGGCAAATACGGTATGCCAATATTTTCACGCACAGATTATTATTTTTGTGCTAAGGGGAGGAACATAGACATTTTCTTGAATTGATTTCACAATGACTAACACGGGCTTCTTGCTATACACTTTTGCACATGCTTTGCTAACTCAATTGTTAAATTAGTGACCCTACAACACTTCATGAAAATATTTGAGACTATAATGGCTTCTACGATATATCACAAGAAGTGTCATGCTTTATTCCCTTAATGGAATTTAAATCACAACCTTAAAAAAATGTGTGAACATTTTAAAATGGGAGATTTTCTTTTTCTTTACCTGCAGATATTTAAATATAAACAAATGCAATTCAGCAACCGTTATAAATGAGATTTAACATTCAGTCTGTATAATTTAGCAACATATCATTAGATGTGTCATTCATTTATGCTGCAGTTTGCTGTGTGTTATTAATACAAAACTTCCTTTGACATGTCATTTGTTAGGTGTATGCGATCAGAGTTTCGGTATCCATGTGGCAGAGCTTGCTCACTTTCCACAGAAGGTTATTGACTTTGCCAGAGAGAAGGCAGCAGAGCTTGAAGACTTCCAGAGCATCGCATCATCTGCGGCGGCTAGTATGGAGGGGCTGGATGAACCCACGGCTAAGAAACGCAGAGTAGAAAAGCAGGTGGGTCTGTCTTGATCATTAGGACTTATGCTTCAGTCTCATCTTTGTGTATTTGGCTTGCGCAGTGGCGTACGCAGGATTTTTTCAAGGGTTTTTTTTTTAAATCGGGCCCGCTGCTGAATAAGGGGGGGGGGGGTTAAGGTCACCTTTTTTAGGTCAGCCTTTGGCAAATTTTTTTTTTTTAATTAAAAAAAATAAAACAAACTCAAAAGGGGGGGGGGGGGGGATTTGCCGAAAAACGTACACAAAACATACACATAAAAAAAACTCAAGGGGAGGGGGTTTAACCTCCAACCCCCCCCCCCCCCCCCCCCCTGCGTACGCGCCTGGGCTTGCGTATTGCTGCATATTTATGGCAAGCCTTTATAACATTTATTCCTATTTCTTGAAATCAAGAATTACCATTGCTTTACACCAGAAAATCATTTCTTGATAATTATCAAGAAATAGGAATAAATGTTAAAACGGCAATACGCAAGCCAAATACACAAAGGTGTGACTGAGGCATTAGGTTTTGATTATGCCTACATAAAATGACAACTCCATGATTTATTACAAACTCCTGGTTTTTGGTAATCAGTTCCCATCATCAAAATGATACAGCCCCCTGTTGGTTCCCACATCATATAAGCTTACTAGCTTGGTTTTTACTTGCACTGGACTTAGCATATTTTACTGTAAATTAATGAGTGCTTTATCCACACACCATACCTGCAATTCATGACACTCCTTGTAGTTACTTGCCTCACCTACCATCCCAGTATAGCTTCCTGAGTGAGCTGCCAAAGGGATTACCCAACCAAGTACCAAATAAGGTTATCAGTTATTCACGTACTTCCAAAATTACAAAACTTGGTAAGGGTATGAATAATTTAGTTGTTAACTGAATATAGAGCATGAAAATGAAAGAGATCATGTGATGAAACTTGAAAGAATGCTCTACTTGCATATTATTGCTAGTCAACTAGATCTGTAGTTAAAAAATGTGCTTAAAACGGCAAACTACTGATTCAACAGAAAAATAGGAATTGCATAGCTATAATTGAGAAGTCCTTTCATTTTGTTGATGTTGACAGGAAGGAGAAGCGATCATACAAGACTTTGTGTCAAAGGTCAAGCTACTACCCCTTGATGACCTCTCAGAAGATGACGTCATGAGCAAGCTACAGTCCCTCAAGGCAGAGGTCCAAGCTAAAGGAAATGCTTACATTGAAGAATTGCTCTCCAGGGGAACATAGGGAGTGTTGTTAAAACACATGCTCCAGCGACAATTGCTCCCTGTAGACAATGTCCTCCACTAACCAAAGTCTGACCTTCAAATCTGGATCAATACATTTTCCTACCCCAACCCCAAGCCTAATAATATACTATCCCTAATATATTTTAATAATAATAATAATGATGGTGGCTTCTTATATAGCGCACATGTCCGTCATGTTGTGACGCTCCTGGCGCTGCCCCGATTATTATTGAGCAGTGCCCCAGGGAGAAGACACTTAGGAGAAAGAAGAAAAAAAAGAAGATATTTTTGTATACAGACAAACCGGAGACTTATCTGCGACTATGTTACAATCCACTGCCCAAATTGCCAGGCTCAGTAATCTCATATTTCAAACATTCATAACTTTCTTATTATTGGTCCAATTTATTTCAAACTTGCGCCATTCGGTTTATCTTATCTTTCTGCTTTCGTACAAATGAACTTATTTCAAGGGTTGGATTGCCCTTTTAAGTCTATTCAACAGTAGTTGTGAAGTATCCAAATGATGGATGACGGTCTTAATATGATAAGTTTATGCGAACGTATTCTGACTCCTGGGACCCGTTTCACAAAGCATTTTTTCAACGACAAATGACAAAAATCAGTGACAAATCTGCTAATACCAATCAGAAGCAAGGATTTCAGTAGCTTATAACAATAACTGTCATTTGTCACTGATGAGAAGTTTTGTGAAACGCCCCCCTGATATGTAATATCCACATATTGATGATTAACTGAAATCTCTGGTTCTTTTTTTCATTATCTGATGTAAAGAAGAATGGTTCTGCTGTACATCAGATAATATATTGAATGTTTTGTATACCAAGAGGTAGTCATTCTCATTAGAGCTGAATCCCTCCTGGTTTTGAGTAGATGGTTTGATGATGCTTTGACATAATCTTGTAATGCTATATAGTCATTCTATATATTCATGTTCAATGAATCAGTTCAAAATGATGTTTGCTTTTGTTCCCCTTCTACTATGGTAATTTTTTATGACCACAACTTGTCCTTGATGTTTGCCTGATATAGCAATAACAATTAAATGCAACCTGCAGTTAATAATGAAACCTAATACCCTTCCTGAGTGAAAGGAATAGTAATAATAATAATAGTTCAGTTTTTGTATAGCCCGTATTATGCGCTATACAAGTCATAACTACTATAGCGCATAAAACGTTATGAAATAACATCTCTATGCGCTTCCAAAGAACTTTGGAAATTATTACCCTAGCTTTAGCTTTGGCAGCCGTTATAAGCGCTCAGTGCATTTCAAGGAATAATCCTACCAGGCCCCCCCCCCCCAAGAACGGAGATGCTCAAAATAGCCCAGTACAGTAAGGGTTAAAACAGCTTAGCATCCACCTGTATATAAAGACTATTTGTCTATGAAGATAACATTTTCTGTTCCCCGTAAAGAGTATTTCTCATTGAAACATGTACTAAAAGTGAACCTGTCCATAAAGACCACATTTTTTGTCTTCCTTGAGTATGTATACCTATATGTTTCAGTGTATGATATTTCAGTAGATATACAAGTCTTCCAGTAATGTATGTATGATATGTGGCATGGTCATGTAATAAATTCAGGTTATAAGTGTTTATTCATGGAATGTGTCAACTTGTGTTCTTGTACACGCAAGTTTGGAATTGCTAAAAGTGCCAAAAAATATTGTTTGTAATCAAAGATGATAATCTTTGTATAGTGTATATACATTTATGTTTCTAAAAAACTAATAAAAGTAACATGTTTTCATGGAATCCAATTTGTTTGCTTGTTTATGTGTTTTTTAAATTTAAATTGTAGGTGCTGTTTAGTGGACTGTGTTCTTTTAGCTATTCTACACATTCATCAAATAGCTTATTTACCTTGTGCATATTTTGAAATTCAGATCCTTTTACAGGCTTTATTATAAGTACAAGTTTTTGCCTTTACACGATGGATTCACAATCCACAGCGCCACCTAGCGACACCAATGCTTGGTGGATAGCACATGTTGCATTATGGGAAAAAGTCAACCAAAATATCAGCTGTGGCATTTTTATATACTAGGAGATAAAAGGTTTTAATTTTGGGGTGAAGGTTTGTACATGCATAGCTTATCGGGGTAAAATATTGCACTGATTCCAAAAAATAATGGTCTTATTGACCCTACTCAACCACATTAAGGTCATTTGGGCAATTTTTGTCAGGGGTGATGTTTCCATTCTTGCTAATCGGCAAATGAGATTTAAAGGGACTATCTATGTAAAAATGTGACAAAGTGCAAAAAAAGTGGTAACATATATACCCCTATCAAAAACAATATGGTGATTTCAGTCACTCCCCCCCCCCCCCATGAATTTATATGGTAACATATATATACCCCTATCAAAAACAATATGGTGATTTCAGTCACTCCCCCCCCCCCCCCCCCCCCCCCCCCATGAATTTGTTTTAATTGTTCAATATCAAGCCAAATTTTCAGTTAAAATCAATTGATGGGTTGGTTTTGAGTTTCGACATCAATCTAAAACTATGCACGGATATCGGAACAATCAATCTAATTGAATGAATTTACACAGTTCCACCGACCACTCTGGTCGTCTTGTTGCGCTGCACTGGTGGAATGATGTTGACCTCTGAGGTGAAAAATCGGCCTGTCACAGCTTGACCGTGGGGGCGCTGTTAATATCGAATCTGCCCTCTGACTATGTGTTTAAACCTAGTTATTGAAGGGGAATCAACCCTTTGTATCAATCGGATCGGGTAGAAGAAAATTATCACAAAGACAAAGTAATGAAAGTTTGAATTGCATTATTCCACCTAAGTTCACAATCTACATTTACTCCAAGATATTTGATTTTTTTAACTTGATTTAGATTATAGTGGCATTTAACTCAGAAAGCATAAACTTTGTCCCTAAAAGCATGCATAATGTTTTACTAGAGTTCACAGAGAGCATAGGCACCCAGAAGCGGGGAAGGGCAAAACACTTCTTTTTTCCTCCCCCCCCCCCCCCCCGAAAAAATGAGCAGTAAAGGAGTAAAAACGGTTTGTATTTTTTAACCAAAAAGAAAATGAAAAATAACAAAACCTGAATTAAATCTCATAACAATTATATTCCATTCAAAGAAAAGGAGAATAAACAGGGATTAAATTTCCTCAACATTTTGCATGCCCCTATATTTATCAATGGAGGATTTTATAATAGCGATACGCTCATGTCCCCCCCCCCCCCAAAAAAAAAAAAAAAAAAAAAAAAAAATCAAACGTGGTTTATTTCTAATTCGATAAAAGTATAAGAGAAGTATGTTAAAGAGAAAAAGAAAGGAAGAGAGAAAGAAAAAAAATGAGTGACCTGCCAGTGTCACAAATGAGGTATCAAAATATGCTCATGTGGCTGTAATTATATAAATGCCTAAAACCCCTGGGCTTATGTGACAGACACACCCAGTATTTTCCCTTGATAAATTGGTTCAAGCCATTCATCAGTTACTTTGATAAGTGCAGTAGTTGTGAAATGTTTTTACCTAAAGCCTGATTGCTCCTTCACTAATACATCATTGTCATCTAAGTAATGAAGTAATTGTTTTTGAACAACCCTCTCTTTAAAAGTTTCGTAAAATTAACGCAGGGCAATAATGATATAGGCCTATAATTATCTGGCTGGCATTTGTCACCTTTTTTGTGCAATGGTATAATTTTTACAATCTTCCACTGGGAAGGAAATACCCCGTCAGTTATTGACTTATTAATAAGGTATGCTATTATTCTAAAGATTTCTGCTGCACAAGTTTCCAATATATAAGAACTGATCCCATCCAAACCAACCGATTTCTTATTCTTTAGGCTGTATATTTCTTTTAGCACATCTGCTTCAGAAACTAAAGAAAGTTTAAATTTTGTTTCAGAAGATAGTGGATTTCGCATATCATTATCCAGACCTGCCTCGTTACATACATGTAAGACATTAGCAACATTGTCAAAATGATTAATAAAATAATTTGCAGTTTCAAAAGTATCGTGTGACACAGGGATAGGTGATTGAGAGTTCTTGTTGGATAGGAAAGAGAGTTGGCAATGTTTGATTTCTGTCTATAGTTTCAGTTACTTTAAAGTTTTCTTTTTTCAAATGTAACTTTATTTTGTATTTTATTGTCTATATTCTTTCCAATATACATCTTTGTTATTATGTTCGCTATGTTTGTTATCATATTTGTTCAAAAATCCATTCATTCAAACACGGTGAATGTTTCTTTCTTACTAGTACTCTTTTAGTTTTGAGTGGCATGTACGACCATTCGTTAAAAGGGTCTGAAATTCAGATTATTATAGGCCTACTTAAGTGATTGCAATCACTTAGGTCGATTTGAAAACTGATGGTCGGTATTTTTAAGCCCTTTCATTTTGAGGGAAGTTTTGAATTAGTGTTGTCTTTCAAATGCAGTTGGAATTTAGCCTTTTCATTTTGGCTTGCAAATGGGACGCTCTGCATAGGAATGATTTTTAGTATTTTGTTATGGAAAAAAAAAAACCCCGAAATGATATATTAAAAATGAAACTGATGTTTATTTTGGTCTTCAAATTTGCTTCTTTATTTTCTACGGTAAATATACAAATGATACACAGCAGTGAGGGCATTAGTAAGAATTATTCACACAAGGTAGCCTACCTTTGGAACAGCCTCTTCCGAGGCTATATGGCCGAGGGTGTTTGAACTGTTTAGAATACCTAGTGTGTGTAATTTTACTAATGCCCGAAAAATATGATGTGTATTATTTTTTTATGAAGATGATGTTTTATTTGTTATGTAAATTGTAAAATGATGCGTTAATGGCCGGTCATTAGTAAAATTAGGTGTTATAGGCAAAATTAATGCCTGGTCACGTGTACGCTCTTAACCAATCATTTCATTAGGATCCGCTTCATTATCTTATAAAAAATATATAATATCAGGTCTACATTTTACCCTTCCTATTTCCCTCCTTAATTCCTTCTTTCTTTCTTAATTTCTTTTTGTTGTTGTGCGTTTTGGTTGACATATATAGGCATTATTGGCCTAGTTATATAGACCAGCAAACATAGGCGCCGGAAGTGGGGGGGGGGGCAGTTTCCCCCCCCCCCCTAGTCAAAAAAGTGTGGGGGGGGGCAAAACGCATTTTTGCCACCCCAAAACGCCCCCCCCCCCTCCAAAAAAAACACAAAAAAAAACAGTAAAGTAGTAAACATGGTTTGTATTTTTAATCCAAAAGAACGTAACAATAATAAAAACCTGAATTAAATCACATATACAATTCCATTCAAAGAAAAAGGAAAGTTCACAGGAATTAAATTTCATAAACATTGCGCATGCCACCTATACGATATTTTAAATGGAGGTCTCTATAATAGCGATACGCGCATATCGTGGACATATTGTGCGAGAATGGGAAAGCGTGTTCGTTTTTTTTGTTATAGGGGTGAGAAGACATGAGCCCCTGAACGCTGGCATACTGATGGGGGGGGGGGGGGGGGGTGTATTTCTTATTCCAAACAAGTGATTTACAAATGTTAATGTTGTGACATGATTTTCTTTTTTATGCGTTTGTTGGAAAATAAGAAATTCCCACATTACAGTCAGGCGAAGAACGCTTATTTAGAAGCCTTTATGTCATGGTCTGCAAAGTGGCTGGGCTCGAGCCCCCCCCCCCCCTCCACTCCCCCCTCCCCCCTCCTTTTTTAAAAAGTATATTAAAGAGAAAAAGAAAGAAAGACGTAGAAAAAATAAGTGACCTGCCAATGTCACAAATAATGTATAAAAAATGTTCATCTGACCGTAATTAAATTCTTAAAACCCCAGAGCTTATGGGGGCTCCACCCCCGGAGCCCATTAAGGGACCTAAGGTGGGCCCCTGAATGCTCATCTGACCGTAATTAAATACCTAAAAACCGCGAGCTTCCAGGGGCTCTGCCCCCTGGACCCCAACAAGGGCTCTAAGGCGGGCCCCTGGATGCTCATCTGACCGTAATTAAATAACTAAAACCCCTGACCTTCCGGGGGCTCTGCCGCCTGGACCCCACCAAGGGCCCTAAGGCGGGCCCCTGGATACTCATCTGACCGTTATTAAATACCTAAAACCCCTGAGCTTTCGGGGGCTCTGCCGCCTGGACCCCACCAAGGGCCCTAAGGCGGGCCCCTGGATGCTCATCTGACCGTTAGTAGATACCTCAAACCCCTGAGCTTCCGGGGTTTTGCCCCCTGGATCCCACCAAGGGCCCTAAGGCGGCCCCCTGGATGCTCATCTGACCGTAATTAAATACCTTAAAACCCCGAGCTTCCAGGGGCTCTGCCCCTGGACCCCAACAAGTGCTCTAAGGCGGGCCCCTGGATGCTCATCTGACCATAATTAAATACCTAAAACCCCTGAGCTTCCGGGGGCTCTGCCGCCTGGACCCCACCAAGGGCCCTAAGGCGGGCCCCTGGATGCTCATCTGACCGTAGTTAAATATTAAAACCTCTGAGCTTCTGGGGGCTCTCCCCCTCCCCTTGGAACACGTCAATTGCCTTATTCAGAGGGCCCCTGGATGCTCATCTAACCATAATTAAATACCTAAACCCCTGAGCTTCCGGGGGCTCAGCCCCTGGACCCCCTGCCGAGGCCCATGCCCTGGACCCCACGCCAATTTACGCTCTACCTGATCGATAATACTCCACTTTGAAAAACGTTCCGCGGGACCTGCATGTAACGTGTAATACTGGTGGTGATGCAGATTTTTCGTCTGCCCCCCCCCTTCTGAACTTTTTTTTCTCATTACGTCACTACCCCTGGAAAGTGAGCCACCTGGAATGTTTGCCCCCCCCCCCCCCAATCCCAAACTGCTTCCGGCGCGCCTGCTAGCAAAGCGATTTAAATGCCCCCCCCCCTCTAAAACTGACACGCCCAATCACACAGAGCGATTTCCACCATAGATTATATATTAATTATAGTAAACTATGCTACCCCGTATCAATTATTTTGTTCGTTCCTGTGTTATTGTGTGTGTTTTTTTTTTTTAGGGGGCCGGGGGGGGGGGGTGGGTCAAATATGTAAAGTGGGGAGCTATCCGGGGAGCTATGGACGGCTATATGCATGGTGAATCGCTTGAAATCACATTTTAAAAAAAAATCACATCAATAGGAGTAGGAAAATATAATTCATCTGGGGTGAAGGAAAGGGGGGGGGGGGGGGGGGGGGGGGATGGCCGCTTTAATTTTGCATCTTCGCTCAGCGCAGTCTAAGTCTAGCTCGAAAAAGTATGTGTATCAGCGAAACTCATAGGAATAATATGCTTTACGTTGGGGGCCTACGATTATATGCACGTGATATCTTTAAACCTGAAAGCATCGAAAGCTTGTTGTTCCTTGGATACCGCGGGCCTACACGACTTTCCTCGACAATATCTCGGGGTTTTATGTTGGTTTCGATTGAGTCACTAGTCAAGTTCTTAAGAATGGACAGTTAAAGAGGTAAATATTCTAAAATTACATAGTCTATTCACATTTAGAATACATTTTCGGCTGAAGAATAAGCAAGGGTAAACAAAGTTGGACGCGGGTGCCCTAAATTCTAGTAAAATGTATAGATCTACAGTCCCACAAACTTACTTGGACGTGACCTGATTGCAGACGAACCAGTGCAGTGCACGAAGAACTTTGTGCATGAGCGCTGCGCGCTGTAGGCCTAACGTGAGTGATTTCAAGTTCGGTGTTGAAAGCTGGTGTTGGTGTTGTGAGAACACCAACACCAGCCACAACACCGAACTTGAAATCAGGCTGATGTTGGGATTGACCTTGGGAAATAGAGTAAAGGAGCCCGTTTTCGGCCACTTAAGACAAAATCCTATTTTTTGGACTCTTTACTTCCTAATCCTATTTATCATTTCTTGTTCAAATCATAAAGCAAATATTATCATTATTTAAACAAAAAAAGAATCCCAGGAAAAAAATCACGAATTGCCATGACAATATTCATTTCAATTTTTACTGTTTTGGAGCCAGTTATCGGCCGAGCGTTTCAGTTTACGGCCGCATGTACAAAGTCAATAGGAAGCGCTCGCGCGCGCCGTGCGTTTCCGCGCTGATGTACAGCACAAGCAGGCGGAGCAGGTATCCCACGCCGGAGCTCCCTGGTGCTCGCCTGGCCGAAGACAGGCACAGCAGTGATCGGAAGTTGAAATCTGAATTAGACAGACATATCGTGTGTGCGTTGCGGTGTGCGGCTGCATTGATTTAATACATGCGATGAGATACTTTTGAGCTTGCGACTAGCACAAAATCGAGCTCTAAATCTGAAAAATACTTGAAATAAAGCTCATTTTATGGTACCCATATTTCTTACAGACACGCGTAAGATACTCGATTTTTCAGATTCGGGTAGCGGGACCGCCGATTACATCGCTAAAATGTGATATTTTAGGATATATTTTTCATTGCAAATGTGGTTCTTCAGTGACACTGGCATGGTATGGTATGTGTGGGATATGTGTTATGCTATTATGCGATGTATTTTAGAGTGATTTTACCTTGCATCCAACCAATCGGCCGAAAACTGGAGCTGGCCGATTACCGGCTCCTATACTCTATGACGTATTTCCGATAGAGTAAAGGAGGGGGTAATCGACCATCACCAGTTTTCGGCCGGTCCGTTGGATGCATGGTAAACTAAAATCCCTTTAAAATACATCGCATAATAGCATAGAGTCTATCACATATCCCACACATACCATACCATGCCATACTCACTGAAAAATCACATTTGCAATGGAAAATATATCCTAAAATATCACATTTTAGCAATGTAATCGGCGGTCCCGCTACCCGAATCTGAAAAATCAAGTAGCTTACGCGTGTCTGTAAGAAATATGGGTACCATAAAATGAGCTTTATTTCAAGTATTTTTCAGATTTAGAGCCTGATTTTGTGTGAGTCGCAAGCTCAAAAGTATCTCATCGCATGTATTAAATCAATGCAGCCGGACATGGCAATGCACACGATATCTCTGTCTAATTCAGATTCCAATTTCCGATCACTGCAGAACTAGTTTTCGGCATGGGGAGCTCTGGTGTGAGATACCTGCTCCGACCACTAGTGCTATAGATCAGCGCGGAAACGCACGGTGAGCGCGCGCTTCCTATTGACTTTGTACATGCAACCGAAAACTGGTTCGCTATGCCGATAACTGCCTCCGAAACAGTGAAAATTGAAATGAATATTTTGTCATGGCAATTTGTGATTTTTTTTCGGGAATTCTTTTTTTGTTTAAATAATAATAATATTTGCTTCATGATTTGAACAAGAAATGATAATAAATAGGAAGTAAAGAGTCCAAAAATAGGATTTTGTCTTAAAGGTAATACAAAGGTTTGGGAAATTTTGAAAATTTGGTGGTCTAATAATACCTGCCTCACAGCAAGTATTCCTCAGCACTACATCCTGACTTATGGATCCTGCTGAGTATCGTTGTAGAAGTAGAAGTAGTATGCAGTGCTAAAGGTCAATACGCATTAGTATTGACTCTCTACGCTTTGCTGGAGTGAGTAAAAATAGCTGTAAATCCTTGGAGCTATATAATTCCATTAGGATCCGATCCTATTGGACCATCAGAAACCATTAGAGCTATTGGTGTCTAATGGTTTCAATAGGGAAAGTGAAATGATGGACCCACAGTAACCATTAGAAAATATCTATTGGACCAACACAAACCCACAGAAAGAAATGCTGATGGACCAACAGAGAGCTTCTATTGGACCAGCATCCACCCATGTCTTCTATGGGTTTCTGTTGGTCCATTAGATATTTTCTTCTATGATGGGTTTCTGTTGGTCCATTACATGTAGATATTTTCTATGGGTTCCTGTTGGTCCATTAGAGATCTTTCTATGGGTTTCTAATGGTCCCATATTCTGAATTCTCTATTGAAACCAATAGTCACAATGGCTTCTATTGGTAAATCAATAATGATAAATCAAAATCGATTTTAGCAACTGTCCACCAAAAAAAGTATATTCTAATCTCAATTGCATTAACTTTATCACATAGATCACTTGAAGTGAGTTTATGAATATCCTTTATTTTAACTGAAGGCTTGTACTATTCTATATAATAAACATACATGAATTGTTTCTTGGTTAGTAATCATTAAAATCAATATATCTATTGCTAAAACGTGAATGAAATTGTAACATGATTAAACAAATAATCTATTGGTCATTAGTTGCCGAAAGAAAATAAAAATCACAAAATTGATGTACAATGTCATAAGTTGCTTAACAAATTATGATAAATGTAATTTTCTGTGAACACGTATAAAGTGATCATGAATATGCATGAGATAGATTTAGCTGTTGGTTTCTATTGGTTTCTATTGGACCTATTGGTTTCTATTGGTCCCATTGGGTTCTATTGGTCTCATTGGTTTTCTATTGGTCCTATCGGTCCTATTGGTCCTATCGGTTCTATTGGTTTCTATTGGTCTTATTGGTTTATATTGGTCCTATTGATTTCTATTGGTCCTATTGGTTTCTATTGATCTTATTGGTTTCTATTGGTTTCTATTGGTCCTATTGGTTTCTATTTCTATTGGTTTCTATGGGTGCTATTGGTTTCTATTGGTTTCTGATGGTTTGAATGGTCTCTATTGGATTCAATTCTATGGGTCCAACAGAAACCATGAGAGACCAATAGAATTTTTCTAATGGTCTCTATTGGATTCAATTCTATGGGTCCAACAGAAACCATTAGAGACCAATAGAATTTTTCCAATGGTCTCTATTGGATTTTCGACCTGGTATACATACGTATTTCAAGAAAAATGATATTTTATCTATTGATTTGTTAATATGACTTTACATTTGATATTCGATATTGTGTAATTTATTGGAATTTCTGCTTTTATCGCAAGACTTTTTCGCCTGTAGAGGAGGACGTCACTCGGCATTGAGGCTGGTGTTGAGCTATCGATAACACACAGGCGTACGCGCACGCGTGATCGGTATCGTCCTTCTAAACTGACCGTCGGTGTTCGAGCTCGGTTCAGCAGCCTTTCCACGCTCTCAACACCAACACCGAACACCGTACTTGAACTCACTCAGTGAGTTTACGCACTCTCATTGGCCGATCCGCTCGGGCGGCTTCGACTTAAGTGAGAGAGGGCCTACTTAAATTAAGCACAACTTAAGTTCAATGGCAAAGTCAATACGTAATATTACGTCACACCACAAAGATTTTGAACCATCCTGCTTTAAAGTAACACTAACATTACAAACAGTAACAGGTGACGCACTTCACACATAAATGACGCACACACGGCATTGCAAACACATAAAAAAAGAAAAATCAACGAAATTCTCATAATAAATTTTCAGTTTGTACCTTAAATATGATGAAAATGAGAATCGTTCAAACTTAAAAAATAGTTTGTCTAAGTAGATCTATTCTCTAAAACTTAAACTTAAGTGAAATACTTAAGTGAAAAAATCATAAAAAATAGAGGGTTTGACTGAAATATTATAATTTTGGTATTGAAAAAAACCTGCTCCTCGCACAAATATCGTATAGCAATGAGTGAATGGAGAACAGCGATAGCCAATCTGAAGGGCCCATGTCGGCTAGGCTAGGTGCCAACTTACGAAAATGAGGCTGAGATCGGATGAAAGATCTGCGCATGCCGTAATTGTAAGTTGGGAATTCAAATGGTCAAATTCTAACTGGGCCAGTTATCCCATTAAAATTTTCAGGGTTCAGCAGTTGGTTTTAACTGGTCTAACTGGACCAGTTGCAACTGGTTTTTCCTTCTGGGCAACCACATTAACGTTTGCATCCTACCGGATAACCAACAACTGGGTTGAGGGTGGCTAATGTAGATTAATGTCTTGCCAAGGGGCATAAGGAACGCAGTGGGACTCAAATTGGGAACCATGTGAAATATCCACTCAATCATACTTTGTATTACAAAGGCTAATAATATCCACTAGATCACGACACCTACTGTAAATAATAGCGATTAGTGTTAAAAGGGAGTTCGCTAAATTCAGCGAACTCTGTGTGTGTGCCTGTATACTAAACTAATCGCTATTATTAGTTTCGCTACTAGGTATCAAATTGTCAATGTGAAAACAATTGTTTGTTATATTACATACGGTTGAAAAAGGTGTTATGAAGTATACGTATACAGTTTCTGCAATTTAGATTTTTTTTTTTGATCATGTTTCATACCTTTGTGTACATGTAACTACCACCTTTTTACCTTTCTCACTGTGAATGGGTTTTAAATGTTCATATCCATTCAGTTGGGTGTTCTGGTCTAATGGATAAGTTAGCTGACTGGACACACTATGTATACAGGGTTTGATTCCTGCCCGGCGCAGAACTAACTCCCTTTGACTAACATCTACATTTGCCACGCTCGACTCAGGTGAGGTAAATGGGTACATTGGCAGGTCCAATGGGAATTGTAACACAAATAATGTACAGCTTCTTGCTATCTGTTTCTTGAAACTTTGCCAGGGTTGAAGATCGTCACCAACAGCTATGGGGAAAAAGGGGAAGAAAGGGAAGAAGAGCGGGAAGAAGAGCGGAAAGGCAAAGAAAGATAAGAAAGAGAAGGAGCCTCAGATGACCATCAGGGAAGCCATTTTAGCATATCAGTAAGTCTCCCCATGAAGTAGAAAATTGGTAATTGATAAAACTTAAATCTGCATACCGGTAGTAAAAAAAGAAATTTGTTTTCACAACTTCTTGAAATCTTGACAGCTTGGGCAACCAAAGGAAAAAAAGAGCCCCTTTAAAGATATGTCCCTTTTGCAGCCGACATCAAATTCTGTAGAACTTTGCAGAAATTATGAATATGTCATGTACCCTGTATGTCCTATCTGTGAAATTTAAACGTTAGCAGTGTCCTAATATTCAAATTATGCAAGGAAACTCGTTTACTTGCTAGACTTCACTGTCAGATACTATTGAATGACTGACTGGCTTTTTTCTTCTTTGGTAATAACGTACATAAAATGAAATGTAAAGGGTACATGAGCATTTGTCTACTTCAATAACCCACTTCTTGTAATGGCCAAAATTAAACAGATTGAATCTTTGCGCAGCATTAAACGTATGACCATCGGTACAATGGTCTGAAAATCAGACTATTACTTACTGGCTCTATAGCTCTTAAGTCAATTCGACAACTAATAGTCTTTATTTTCCCACTTTTTCCCACATTTTCAAGTCCCCCTTTTTTTAGGGAAGTTCTAAATTAGTATTGTCTTTCAAATGCTGTTGGAATTTAACCTTTTCCTTTTTTTTTGCCTGCAAATGGGACATAATGTAGTACCTTTAATACTTTCAGAAGCACAATACTTATTTTTTGTGTAATTTGCGTGGGTTTTTGTTGTGTTTAAGGGTAGTTACCCCAGAATGTGAGAAAAACCAACACTGTTTGCTTGCTATGTAAATAGAGCTAATTTGTCTCTTTTCCATTCACAGGATCAATGTAAAAGAAAATGCATTGGAGGAGTTTATGTATGAGATCAAAGGTTTGGAGGAAAAACGCCAGCGGAACAAAGAGAGGGTAAGAACAATATGATTTAAACTATTACCTCACACTAGATACGATCTTCCTACGATAAGATTTTTGAAGAAATTGCAATTATATTAGACATAGAAATCAAATATCTTTCTGATGTAGGATCTAGATATTGATACGAATTCAAACAACTGGAATTTCAGTGCATTTAAGTTTTTTAGTCAGAATTAAAGCACAGTTGGCTTCAAATACAATGTAGTAGACAATCGCACTACTTGGCCCCGGGCATAAAACTTACCATTTATATTTTATTGATATACTTACCTTAAAGGTACTATGTCCCATTTGCAGGCCAAAAAATTGAAAAAGTTAAATTTCAACTACATTTGAAAGATAATACTATTTTAGAACTTCCCTAAGAAAGGTGGGGCTTGAAAATGTCTTCAAGTGGGAAAATAACAATTATTAGTTGTCAAATCGACTTTAGGGCTATAGAGCCCAAAAGTAATAGTCTTGATTTTCAGATTATTGTACCGAATGGTTATACGTTTTATGCTGCGCAAAGATTCAATCAGTTTAATCTTGGCCATCACAAGAAGTGGGTTATTGATGTAGACAAATGCTCATGTACCCTAACTCTTTTCATGTATGATATTACCAAAGGAGAAAAAAAGCCAGTCAGCTAGTCACTCAATAGTGTCTGACAGTGAAGTCTAGCAAGTAAATGGGTTTCTTTGCATAATTTGAATATGAGGACACTGCTAACGTTTAAATTTCACAGATAGGACATATTCATAATTCCTGCAAAGTTCTACAGCATTTGAGGTTGGCTGCAAAAGGGACATAGTATCTTTAATATTGATTTAGCTATTCCTCCTCGAGGGAGGAGTGAAAGCCGTTGAATTTCTAATTTCATTAATCAGAAATCTGAGAAACTGGGGTGGTGGGGAAGAGTGGCCCCGGGGGGGGGGGGGGGGGGGGGGGGGGGGGGGGTATTTCTTGAATGGACATCCAATTTGCTGTGTGCAAGAATTGAACACCCATCAACCTCAGTCACACTGTCAAACCGACTTCACCGTAGACGTCACGTAATGTAATACTTCCGCCATAGACATTGTGACAAGGCAGAGCGCTTATTGAGGTATCACGTGGTAATTTGAAATGAATTGCAACAAGAGACTATTCACTGTACTCTGTACGTGTTTTAAGATGCAGAAATGTGATGTATAATTATGTCATCATACAAGAATCGCCATGGTTTTGCCGCGTCATATCTGAACAAAGCCTTTAGTGGTTTTTCCACCAAGTCCAGTGTCAGCGAATTATGACAAACTGCACATGGAAATGGCCGGCCTTTAGGAAAGGTTAGGTATTACTGAATCTTCCCACTCTTTTGCCCACACCTTGATGACATTAGAATGAGCGTTTGAAGGAGGAGCAGCTGTACCACATCAAAACCCTCCTCAAGCAGGCCAAGGAGAGAGACAAGGAGCTGGAACAGGTGACTGTCATTAACAAGGAGCAGGTGGAGACATCCTTGAAGGAGAAATGGAGATCCTGCAAAGAGGAGGAGAAAGCCATAGAGGGTGAGTCGATCAAAGGCTCATCCACTCCAACTCAACATATTTAAGCTTGATTTCGTCAAATATAGGCCCTTTTTGATATTAAAAGCAGACTACGTTAAAAATGGTGACTATAATAGTCCACTGACTTGGCGAGCCCAATGTAAATCCTTGGTTCTGTACAAATTACAGTAATTCTGTAACAAAATCAATAATAAAAATCAGTCTAGTCAAGTGGAAAGGACTAACATTTGTCATATTGACATGATTTTAGTTTGTTCAGCGTTGGATTATTTAACGCTAATTGTTGCAATTTTTTTATGGAGTATGGTGTTGGCAGTAAAAATGTAATTTGCTTAATTTCTTTTTTAGGGGAAATTTTAATTATTTATTTGTCAAAGAATATGTTCACAAATTCAGACTGTAGCAGTTGAATCTTTAAGGAGGGGTTAAAAAACTTGAGGCCATATCAATTTGATGGCTTCCCTAACATTTTGTAATTTGTTTAAAAACATTTGATTTATACTATAGGACTAATACTCGAAATCTTAAGTAAGTTCTCTCTTTTTAAAGGTTTGCCATCATCCCTCATTTTTTTAAAAAAATTAGGAGAAATTTCTTTATTTATTTGTCAAAGAATATGTTCACAAATTCAGACTGTTGAAGTTGAAAGAGGGGCTAAAAAACATGAAGCCATATCAATTTGATGGTTTCCCTAACATTATGTTGTTGTTTTTTTCAATTCAATTTGTACTTTAGGACTATACTAGAAGAAATCTTAAATAAGTTGTCTTCTCTTAGCTTTCTCCTCTCTCACTTTAGCTCTCCGGCCCTATCCTTCTCCTTCACCACACACACCGTCTCTCTCTCTCTCTCTGGTATCTCCCCTCCTTAACTGTTTTTTTCCTGCTCCCTTTGCCATTACAGACCTGAAGAACGAAATTAGTGAGACAATGAAGCAGTACGATGAGGACCTGATTCAGGTGAAGAAATGGACGGAGTATAAGGACAAAGGAAGCATAGAGCATGCAAAGCATATCAAACTGCTTCAAGAAGAGTTGGAGGACATGCAGAAAAACTTTGAAGAAATGACAGGTATGTAGAGGTTTGGATATAAATATGAAATGAAGTGAAGCGACGTCCCCTTGCATGTGATTATTTATCTAGTCAAGGAGCAGGGACGTGATAGAGAAGGACTGGAATCAAGCCGCTCTCCTTTGACCCCATGCTCCAAGCCGCCGAAAAGTTATGCGCTAATCTGCAACTGTTGACCAGGTGGTGAGATAAAAGAGCGCATGAAATTTCAGGATTTAGAATTCCTACATCAGGAAATGGTATCACAGCAACTGTTCGCTGTCCCTTCCAATGATTTCTCATCCATTGTTGAATGTGTACAAGTAAAACAAGCGAACACAAACTTGTGTAATTTTATCCTTTTTTAAACTTGAAAAATACAAAAAACACGCGAAAACACGCATTAGCAAACTTAATGTTATTGAAGATTGTAAATCATGGATCAAATAACGGGACATTAAAGCATGCACAAATTAGCGCATCATCCTAAAATATTGAATTTTTGACAGGATGTAATTTTTCTTTTACCAACTCTGGCACACAAATTAAAGGAAGGACGGAGTTCTAAATTTGAAGATTTGTTTGATGTACTATTCCCAATAAAATCCCCATATAAAGTTTTTGATTTACACTGAAATTTTGCTGGTAATTTAATATTTTGTAACTGGTGCCTGGCTTCCGAAAGTCCCCGCAGTGGAAGCGCGGTTCAGAGCATGGAACTTCAAAGCCAAGTGGAATGTTACACATCCCATTGTTACGCTTTAGAACTCAAGAATGCGTTTGAATAAATTACAAGAGTTTCGCCTCCTTTTCTTTCACCTCCCTGTCAAGGAGGTACAACTGTAAATATAATCCACTCAATAATCTAATCTACATCTAGCGTTGTAATTATGACAAATTGAAAGCATGAGACCTGTAATACAATACAGTCACTATGTGATTGAGCCGAACTAGAATTTGTGTATCTTTTTTGTCTATATTAATTGCGGTACTGCTAATAGGATAATGCCACATAGAATTCATTAAAAAAAAAAAATATTGCCCTTTATATTTGTTTTCTTGATTTGCCCATGCCTGCTTTAGGTATCAAGAGATAATTGTCACCAGCTGGGGTCATACCAGCAGTCCTTGTAAGGAGAGTCTCAAATAGGCCAATCATTTTGGTACTCTGCTACTGTAGCTAGCTGCTCAGATGATGTTAAAATCACTATGCTAGATGCATGTATTTGAAAACCAAGGTGTAGTTCATGTCTAGTTCATGAACCAAAATAAATTCAGTTGTTATGCACTGATGTGAGCTCTGCATACATATGAATGATTTTGAACAAATATCTCTCATTCTTTGATTGAATGACAGCTCATTTAGAGAGGACCTTGAACATTGCCAAGGAAGAGATCAAGAAAGAAACAACGGAAAGATTAGACGAACAAAAATACATAGCTTCAGAGGCAAGTACACATGCAGCTAGGCATTACTATTATGTAAATAAGAATTTATTCTTTGTGTTACAAAAGCTTATTAAATGCTCTGATAATATACCAGTTCGTAGATACAATCTGAGCATGCGCGGATTGATCTGCGCATGCTCAGATAAAGGTCACTTGAACAGAATTGTAAATCCCACTGAGACTCATGAAAGTTATGTAATCATTATTCATGCATGCACCTGTGATGAATTCTATTGAACACAGGTGGAAGTAATCTTTTCAAGAGGGCAAACAAAGAATCCCCTCAATGATTAATTTAGCTGTGATTATTCCAAAAGGCACAAAGTTGGATTTATCTATGTTTAAAAGATATGTGGATATTTGGGGTCATATGACCCATGTGCCAACTACGAACTGGTCTATTGGTGAATTATGTGGTTTAAATTCCTAGAAATGCCACTTGAAACCTTAGTGTAATATTGCTCAGATGTTTTTGAAGAGTATTAATCACCTACAAATAATTTGTGTATGAATGTATAAAACCAATTCCCAGAATACTTTGCTTGACATTCTATTAGTAAACAGATAAGGAATATGAAGACGGTTAGAGGATAACGTAAACCCTGCGGATACTAGGGCTCGCATGGATCCCAAGTCGGACTTGGGCTCAGAGATATTGCATGCATGCACACTTACTGACAAGACGAGAGTGTTGGCTCAGTCAGTAGAGCGTCCGCCTCACAACCGGGAGGTCGTGGGTTTGAACCCCGGCCGCGTCATACCAAAAGCCGTTAAAAGATGGGAGTTGTTGCTACCTTGTTTGGCGTTCAACAATAAGGGATAGAGCAACGTCGATCTGGCGCTGCTCAGTGGCTGCCGGGCTCACGATCAATTGGGCAAAAAGAATTTCCGTTTCGGTTTAATAAAATTTGGAGTGGACTATTAGGCTATTATTATCATTATTATTATATTATTATTATTATTATTAAGACCTTTGAAATCTCCCATCTTCCAGGATGTAAATCTCATTTGTATATTTGATGATATCCATCCATATTTCTCTTGCCTACACTATGAATATGACGGACAAAGAAAGCGGACAAAATATACAGTTCCTCATTTTACCCTCAACAATTGCTATGGTAGACAAAGAAACATCCCTTCCCTGCTATTATGTAAAAATGTGTAGAACAGGTGTCACATGCATATTCCCCTGTTCTACACATTTTTACATAATATCAGTGAAGGGATGTTCCTTTGTCTACCATAGCAATTGTTTAGGGTAAAATGAGGAACTGTGTATTTTGTCCGCTTTCTTTATCCGTCATGTTGTTAGTGCTATTTGTTTATTTTCCCACAGAAAGCAATTAAAACTCTGGACAAGTTTAGTTCTCAAGAAGTAATTGATAATGATTGGTTGAAGAAAGAGGTAAGAATTTAATATTGTCACATATATATATATGCAAAACAATGATAGAAATTAAAAGTACAATGTAATTATTAAAAAAAACCAGAAAATCACAGTGGTTGAATAGTGCTTCAATCTATCTTTAATACCTTGATTGGGAAGTTTTTGGCAAAATGCAATAAATTGCTAAGTGAGTTGTCACCTCTTTTTCCCCCTGTTCCTTTCTTTTCTTTGTTGTTGTCTCAAATCTGTTTCCTATAAGCACACTTGGATGATCATTCTAAAATTTCCAACAGATTTTAGATAAGGCATTTTTCACAAATCACAAAGTCCATCAAATAAAGAAATAGGACTGAAATCTGAAGATTGTATGTTCAGAGGTTGATGAAAGATATATTTCTGGTTCAGATCGAGGGAAACACTCCGTTCCTGGGACAGAACGTTATTAAACTAGCTAGAGGGAGGCCCTATGTGTAGGAGATTCACACCTTTTGCACGTTACTACACTACACTTCTCACAAAGAGATGGGTGTAAGCCTAGTGATTAGTGTGCCTGCCTGCATTCACAACTGGCAGTCTTCCTACAGATCATGCTGCATAGCCCTTTAAAGAAGGAGAAATAATAGAGAAACATTGATTGGTTGTGGCATCTAGCAAACATGTTTTCAAGTAGCCAAGCTTTGATCCACCCCTGTGGACTTTCTCAAGCCAATTGATTCTTCACACAGCTTGCTGTACTTCTATAGCCTTGATCTCACCAAGTTGAAAATAAAAATGACAGATGATAATGTCTTGTAAATGAATATGTGAACTAGGATTATTTTTACATATAAATGCCCTTTCTGTTTTGTCTTGTTTTGTAATGAATTTGTCTGGTTTAATTCTTTATGTTGATGTTGTGTGTCATTTTAATCTTTGTATTTCTATCTTGTTTTTAGTATATTTAAGAAAATTTTTAAGTAAATTTGTATTATCTTTGAAAATAACCTTGATATATAGGCCATTGGCCTCTGTTTTTCCCACCAGGTTATGATAACAAATGAAGATGTTTCATTTCAACATTGTTGTATATATGCATATAAATTGTACTTGTGTTTGTTTTAATCAGATGTGGAAATAAAACTTGAATGTATTTTAATTTGATTTGCTAGTTGGAGATTCACAAGGAAGAAACGATTCTACTCCAGGAGGAGGTCGAGGGGTTGGAAAGGGATAATCTAGAGGTCATGGGTCAACTCTTTGACTGTAGAACAGAAGATCTCAAAATATCAAGGTGAGAATAAGTGAGCAAAACTTAAACGGGTTCGCCATGTGTGTAGTCCTTATAATGACTGGGCTATTCTTTCTTGGAGAGATGTATTAGTTCTTAAAAGGACTGTTGTGTAATTCTTTTATGGTTATAGTTCCGACAAGAAATGGTAGATCTTTCAAAGAAAGAGATGGTCTCGACGTTTCAGACAGAACATTTAAAGGTGAGAATGTTTATTCATCCGGTAATTCTACCCTTCATGGACAGGACTCATTTTATAATAATAATAATAATAATATGGATATTTATATAGCGCCGGTATCCGCCAGGCTCTGACGCTCATGGCGCTGTACATACATGTATTACTATCACAAAAATATAACTTTCTTAACTAAAATAAACTAATCTAAAACAACACAAATTATTACGCTACTGCCTTGACATGATTAAATAGCACTGTTTAGAAAGAGATGGGTTTTTAGAGCAACTTTGAAGTCATGAAGGGCAGTTAAATTACGAATACAAAGTGGCAGCTTATTCCAAAGGGACGGACCAGAATGAGAAAATGCTCTATCCCCCCATGAACTATGCGTCTTAGGGACAACTAATAAGGAGGATTGAGACGAACGAAGATGTCTTGTAGGCTTATACTTAACAATCAACTTGATATTGTAGGAAGGAGCAGAGTCATACAAGGAATGGAAAACTAGCAACAACAACTTAAAAATAATTTGGTCACATACCGGGAGCCAGTGAAGAGTTTTGAGAATGGGGGTGATGTGGGTTCTACGAGAAGAAAGTGTGACAATACGTGCAGCAGTATTTTGCAGTTTCTGGAGTCGAGAAAGTTGTGTGTTAGGGAGTAGATAAAGAATAGAATTACAGAAATCTAAGCGTGATGAAATAAGAGCATGTACAAGTTTCTCTGTGGTTGAACGACTTAAGTATTTCCTAATAAAACCTAGATTTCTCAGTTGATATCTGACTGACTTACAAATACTAGAAACATGAGTTGACAATGACCTAGACGAGTTTAACATGACACCAAGGTTACGACATTGCGAGGAAGGACTAATTACAGAATCTGATATGGATATATTGAACGACTGTATCTTAGCAAGATTTGATTTGGTACCAATAAAATTAGTTCAGTTTTATTGACTATCATTCAGTTTGAGTGAGTTCGAGTTCATCCAAGTTTGCACATCTTTGACGCAAGCTTTGAGTAGTTTGACAGTCCGACTTGCGTCATTTTGATTGGGAAGGAACGATGCGTAGATCTGGATATCATCTGCATTTTAAGGGCTGAATTGATCACATTTTGTTCTTCAAATTGGCAATAGTAATATTGTTAATGCAACTTTGTTAACCCTCCTGTTTGATGTTTTCGATTACATGTAGTTACTTTATTCAACATTATATTCCTTTGAAATGTGTAAAATTTGCAATGTTTTGTTTGTTATATATTTGTAAAAATGCAAAAGAAAAAGAAAATCAAACAGAGATAAATCAATCAATCAATCAAATCAAATGTTGAAACCAGACAACTAATGGTCTTGAACTGCATATAATTATTCCCTGTCCTTATTGGATAATTACACACTTATTATGATGTCAGACAAATAGTCTTCATGGAAAAGGATTAGCTATAAATAGACAAATAATTTATGAAACTATCAGTCAATCAGGGGTGTTGTTGGAGGGGGGGGGGAGGGGTATGACATGCCTTTTGAAGAAAAAAAACTGTCATTTCACCATTTTTATAGACTGGACTAGAGGCAATACAAAAATTATAACTTTTTTAAATAAAAATCTGACATGTCTTTATCTTGTGGGCGAATTTTGAAAATATGATCACCAAAGTGAAAACATTTTCAGCTAATATGTGATAACCATGATGCCCCTACAGTGTTAAAAATTCTGTTATGTTCTTCTTGCAAGATATCTTTTAGGATTTAGCGTGGTATAGGTGCGATTTTCTCACAGTGATATATAAGTAGTACATTGTGTTTTTTTTTACTACAGCTCTTTTTCTATTGATCAGGGCTATTGCTCACTGCTACTATGTATTTTTTTCGCTGAGCCTTGGCAGTCGATCAACCAATCAAGTAATTGTTTCATTCAATCAATCAATCAAAGCTAAATCAAATGTATTTTTATCTTGTTTAGGAAGTTTTACCTGACCCAATTTGAGGATAATGAGGACCTTACTGATGGAGGAATCCTTGAGTTTGATCTGGCTACGTCAGCTATCAGTCAGGGCGATATGGTACCTCCTGTACTGCCACTCACACAAGGTAGGCTTATCTCTTATACTTATAGCATCGTTCAGATATGGTCATGCGATTGCATTGTGAAAGAAACAATGTGGAAGTGATCAGAAAAGGTTGATCATCTAGCATATAAGTATTGGTGTGTTCTGCAAGGTTCTGGAATCATCAAAATGATAAGAAATTCGGCCCAGTCTTGGTAAAGTTTCAAGCACTGTACACAGAAAGATGTATGGGGCTACACGAATATGTGGCATAAAAATCTGTCCCAATTATTATGTTGTTACATGCCATATTTAAAACACGAAAGCATTTGAAGAGCAATGCTTTTCAGGGAACATTTTTTATCTGATGTTCTTCCCTACATGCATAATAACAATGATAATGCTCACAAATCATTTTCACCTCTTCCCAGAGCTCAACCTTCTCTTTAAAGCCTTGTTCAGATATGATTAAGTGATTTAGAGATTTAGTGAATATGCAGAATATGTAGGACCCGTTGTTGCCCTCAGTTGCCGTTATTATGGTTATGTATTTGGCGTCACCTTTGCCTGGGAGGTGGAAGGTGAACTGAATCACTGTAACCCTTGGGTCTCTCCTCCTGGTATAACTGATTGGGGTTATGCAGGTGGATCCACAACACCGGGGTTCCCCGGCCCTACTGTTTTATGAATAGTGCAGTGGGTTCCTAATGTGCGAAGGTGGTGACTCTCCTCTACACAGGGCCTCCATTTAACGTCCTATCTGAGGATTGAGTGTTTTCCATCTTAATATATATAGCCAGCATCCATGAAACAGGAGGGGCACGTAACACACAACACAGACTTCGGGACTTTAGGATAACAATAAAAATCCTTGTGTAACCAGGGCCATGTATTATAAAGCCTTTTAATTGATCGTAAGGTTAATATTGAGTGTAAGTCTATGGCTCATCTTGTATTTATCAAATTTAATAATAATAATAATAATAATAATAATAATAATAGCCTAATAATCCACTCCAAATTTTATTAAACCGAAACGGAAATTCTTTTTGCCCAATTGATCGTGAGCCCGTTGCTCTATGCCTTATTGTTGATCGATCATAACTCTTATAGTACGCTGCCCTTATCTTACTATAGATAAAAAGTGCTTGAAGCACAAAGATGTTGATTGACAGAATGAACAAATGAACCTGTAGCAATGGGAGAAACATCAATTTCACTTGACAAATTATGAACAGTATTAGAGAGATGCATGGTGAATGCTGAGGAGAGCCTTATCAGAAAAGATGTGTTGTTACATATTTTTATTCTTCATTATCGTCAAAACTGGGTAGAATATTTCTTGTTTTGGAGCAATGGCTACTTATTTCTGCGTTGATACCTGTTTTACCACAGTTATAATTACCAGAGTTATAATTATGAGTAATCCTATTCCATGATTCAATTTCCTTGATTTAAATGTCAGGACCTCGTAAGCAGAGGCCACAGAGTGCGACCCAGAGGGCGGTAGAGCAGAAAGTCTTCTCACTTCTACCCCCCGAGCAAGGCCAAGCCATTAGCGAGGGAGAGGATGAGGAGGAGGAGGAGGAAGATGATGAAGAGGTCTACGCTCGCCATAGGGGAGAGGAAGAGGAATACCTGGGCGGCTTGGATAACTATCTCAACTTTGACGATGAAGATTTTGATGTGAGTAGCTACTATATGAAGCAGATAATAGTGCCATTGTTAGCAAACATTTTAGTGATATTTTGGTTTATAAGCAACATTGGTTTCTTTGATTAGTGGAAGAGTGTTTTAACCCACAACTGAATGCCTTCATAATCTTAATGTCGGATAATTTGACTTTTAGTTTTGCAGATAACATTTTAACTTTGTTTAAATAGCAGCAGAGAATGGTTTAATATAAGATGGTGCTTTTGGCGTGTGCTGCAAATTTTCAAGCGAAGGAAACAGTGATTCTTTTGGACAACTCTCCTATGACACTTTCAATTCTATAGATTCAGTGATGCACTTGATAAGACCAAGAAAGTCATTTGTGTTTTGTTGATACAGAGTCAATGTCGGGCAAATTTCCCTAGTCAATACAGAATGTACAGCAGTATCAATTAAAAAAAAATCCTGATTTTACTAAAATATTGTTCAGGTTTCACGAACACCCCCAATAATTGTGTAAGGACTATGTAGGCATATTCATAATCTGTTGCTTATATTTTATTGGCTCTGAAACTGGGATCTACACATCAAAACCATCGTCAACAACGCATCACGCAAACTATATGTACTTAGTAAACTGAAAAGGAATGGTGTCAACACTCGGGACTTGGTATTGATATACATGATGTACATTTGTCCGTGTCTTGAATTTGGTGTACCTGTTTGGTCATCTAGTTTAACTGTTGTCCAAGTAAACAGCATTGAGCGGCTGCAGAGGAGAGCTAGCATTGGGTATTATCACTGGTACATTTCCCGACACAATGTCTTATGCTCAACTTCTACAGTCACTGAGTGTTGTCAGACTGTCTGAACGACGCTCTGTTCTTTGCGAAAAGTTTGCTAAGTCCCTGCTGATCTCAGACCGCCACCGCCATCTCTTACCTGAAACCAGACAAACTATCTCACGACGCACTCTCCGCAACTCTCTCCAGCTCAATACCCCCAAAATGAGAACAGAACGTTACAGGCAGTCTCCCATTCCCCACTTCACAAGAATCCTGAATTCAAATCTATAGATATTTTCACTCAATATTATGACCATATGTGACCAAGATGTAATTAATTAATTTCTTGTCATGCCAATTAATCGGATTAAATCAGATTTCATACTACCTGTAAAATGATAGGACTATACTCTGTAAGTAAACATAAATTGTATATTTTGAATTATCATATCTCTCGGATAATCATCTATATATAAATATGTTTTTAAAGAAATGTTAACTAGGTTTAAAAAAGACTATTTATTAATTTGAAAGTGTATTACATAATTGCATATGACATTTAGAAAATGATAACAACATATTTTACTATTTAAACGTTTTAATTGCATAATTGAAACATGTATTATTTCACGATTGTTTGAAATTAGTTGTTTAGTTCATTAGAATCAGTAATTAATATAAAAAAGATTGCTAAAAGTATTGATTTCTTTATTCTTGTATGTATTTATAATTTGTAAACTGAATTGTATGAGTCTCTGGACTTTTTATTCAGTATGTTTTTATTTACAATGAACCAGAATTGAATTGAATGGAATTGAACTATCATTTCTATCAGACTTTCCAGTTCTCGACCAATTGTATATGTATTTATGAGACACGTGCCTGTGCCACATATACTCATATACCATATGGCCAGTACTGCCCTCTAAACCGAATACCATAGTGGCGATAGCGTGGATTGAAAATTGACTAAAAATTGGTCAATTATATCAAATATATTCAATTGAGTTTGGAAATTGGATACATTAAGATTGGCAATAAAAATCATGGTGCAGTCCATCTGTTCAAGATGGTATGCATGCTATAGTACAGTTAGTTTATCTCGAAGCTAAACCAACATCTACAACTTCTTCTTTTCTATTTTCCTCCAAACCCATCAGGACTACCTTAAACTGGGACCCCTGGAACTAAAGCTCTTAAGCATTGAAGGTCACACTAAACCCATCCATACGCACAAGAAGCTGTCAGATCAAGAGGAGCAATCTAAGCTCTCTGCACCGGACGTTTGGCCCGTCACGGGGGACATGTTGAGGTCGGTCACTAGGACATCTATGCAAGAGACATAAACTGATGCAGTCCATGGTTTGCTTAAACCTACTCCGGCCGGCCAGGCGCTGTTAAAGTGAATTTCATCACCTTTTCTCATTCAAACTGTCACTGGTATTTATCTCTTTGCAATATGGTTCTCTAATAATAAGGTGAATTTCTGAAAAGAAAGTGCCTGGATAGAAACCATGTAGAAAAGTTGAGAAAAATTATTGTTTGGAAAAAAGATAATGCCTTCAAACTTTTGTAACGTGATGCCATTGCATTTATATGGAAACGGCATCTCTGACCAATGGAAAATAGAATTATAAGTTTTGTGGCGTTATGCCTTTGACTTATATGTGTTTTTAGAGTATCAATGTGCAACTTTGTGAAATAGCATGCATTATTTTCTCTTACTCTCTCCCTCACTCTCTTTCTTGATCAACCATACATTTTGTAGCATATTTTCACATATGAAATGACATGAATTTATATTTTTCCCCCTTCCACAGGGTCTCGATTTCCAAGGGCTGTAAATATGCATTACAAAAATACCAAGTAAAAAATAATTGTTCTCAAAATTATATATGCCTGTGTTTCCACTTCTCACCCATAGCAGAACAGTGTCTCCTTTTAGTGTCATTTTTGCACTACCTTTTGATCCAGAATGCTGGGAATTACAGATTATAGAGGAGCAGCAAGAGCCCAGAAATTTGGAGACGATTATAGCAATTTAATTGTAATTAGTTATTATAGTCTCTAATTGGCAATGCCGGGTAAAGGGAAAACAAACAAAAAATCCATATTTTTGTATCCGAATGGTCAATTTTTGGGGGGTTAAAATTGACCAATTCAATTCATTTCATAAAAGTATGATGGAGTGGAAAATAGATTAACTCTTTCCAATTTGAAGATGAAAAACTGATTAGTTTAGAAAATAAGAGCTCTCTGAACTGCTTTGGGTTAATATATGTATATGACACAGGATAAGGTATAGTCTATCTCATTATTATTGACCAGCATGGCTGCTGATGTAGTTACTTGCAAGCTTCCATGATTACAATCCATTTCCCTCCGTACAAGTAAAAACTCATCACTGAGCAAGATTTTGAACATAAATTAAAAGAAGAAAGAAGATATATGCATGTGTATTGGAGCTTCCTGCTTTATTCAACTGTGTAGAGATAAACTATAGCAAATTCACTATATTATGCAAAGATGACAAATGATATGAATAAATTATATTCTTTATGATGTAAAATCAATTTGTTTAAATGCATTAGAAAAAGAATAGAATCCATGCAAATATAAGATTGAATAATTAATTGATTAAAGGTCAGATGGTATGTTTGTTTTACCTGACTGGTAAGAAAGCATGTAACCGATGGCTTTAACTTGTGAGGATTAATGCCTTACCAAAGGACATTAGTGCATCAAAATTGGTTTCTAACCCAGAACCACTTCTCTACAACTGAGCCATTGCGCCTCACTCAAATTGTATATGTTTTAACAGACGTTAGTCATGTACTGTTAAAATGGAAGTCAGTATTAAGTTTTCTGTAGTATTGAATGTGGAGTTGTGGTCATGAATCCGTCCAACATATAAGATGCAAATTGTAAAGATGTCCATGATGAAAATCTTTTATACATACATGTATTTGTGTTCTTGAAGGAGTCAAGTGAAATTGTTGATATTATCATTTTCAGGGAAAAATAATTCCTCTGAAGTAAACCAAGATGCAAATTGTATTGTGATTCCATCCTTTCTGTCCACAAAAAACTAAAAGTTCTCAATTACAGAAAGAGACAAAGATTGTGTAAATATGAGATTATTTAAAAGGAAAATTGTAAAATACATTTCAAAAATTATATAAGCATATGAAAAACTTACTATTAAATTACTTGTGCATTCTTGAACTGTATATATCTTTTGCATGTAATAAACTAAATGTGAACAAAAAAGTATTGTGCTTAATGTGTTGAGGTCAACCAGAGTTAGTACAAGGATTTCTTTTTAGACACCAGTCAACCTTACGTAAGCCCAAACTGTCGGGACCTTAGAAAATACTACGACTTGCACAATCTTTCCCACCTCAGTCCATGCTCCGACCATCTTGTAGCGTCAACTTATGCAAAGTCAAGTTACACGAGGTCGACTGTTTTTATTCCTCCTAACAGTTTTATGCAAGCTTATTTATGGTGAATCCCCCTGATATTATACATCACAATAGATTCACAATGTAGGAACACAATGTAGGACAGAAGGAAGATCTTGGAGTTGCAAGTCTCATTGTTTATTTTATACAATCATAACAGCACTGACAAAACAAATCTCAGCAGTTCTCAATACCTCCTTTCAATGCAAATGTTGACTCAAGTATCCATAAACTTATAGTTCTCATCCTTTTCTACAATCGATGTAGGCTTACATCATCCTGACATCGTCAACTATAGAGTACCGAAGCTGTGACATCATAAAAATCTATTCCTGGAATTTCTCAATTTTTTCTTCATTTTCCAAAAAACCACCAAAAACAATGTTGAAATGTCGAAAACGAATTGAATAGGTTAAGTATTGGCCGAGATATGACCATCTGAATAAAAAGATTGCCTATGGGAACTCAGTGTTATATGCTCTGGCTCGTAATGTTATGAACCAGATACATCACTTAACCTAATTGGTTTTCGACATTTGGACATTATTTTGGGTGGTCTTTCGAAAAAATGAAGAAACAATTGAGAAATTCCAAAAATAGATTTTTGATGACGTCACACTTCACCACTCTATTCCCTGCATTTCCCCTGCACACAGGGACGTCATCTGTACCCGAATTGCATCCTCCAATTGTCTTTGACATTCCCTCCGCAATTGAAATACAAGTTCTCATCCATTTCTATCATGGATGTAAAGCTAACTCATCCACAATCAGCCACATGATCATCTGTCACCTGACACCATCTTCTTCTTGTCTTTGACGTTCCTCCATGACTGTACTACTAGTGTCCCTTTCTACAATGGATGTAGGTAGGCCTACATCATAAAGTATCCTCTGTATCTCTGACTTCTACCAGGCCCTCACCAGGTCACATAATCATCAGTGACCCGAGTCACCTGACACCATCCTCTAGTTGTCTTTAACGTTCCTCCATGACTGAACTACAATGGATGTAGGTAGGCCATCATCATAAACTTTCCTCTGTATCTCTGATCTCTACCAGGCCCTCTGCCCACAGAGACATGATCATCTGTGAGCCTGCATCATCCTGACTGATGTCACTGACGTTCCTCCATGATTGCGGACATTCCTGAAGGGCCCTGAGAGCTGGCTCGCACTCCCTCGGTAGCTGGATCCCAAGAGCCTAATAAGAGAACCATGTGTGATGACACATTAGATAAGGCTGTGCATAGAGCAGAAGTGACCTCATAAGGGTCCATGCTGTGGAAGATGCTTATGATGATCATCATTATTAGAAAGAAGAAGAATATGATGTAGAGAAAGAAGAAGAAGACAATAAAGATAAAGAAGAAGATGTTGATAAAGATGATGATAAGGTAGAGAAAGAAGAAGAATATGATGTAGAGAAAGAAGAAGAAGACAATAAAGATAAAGAAGAAGATGTTGATAAAGATGATGATGATTAGGTAGAGAAAGAAGAAGAATATGATGTAGAGAAAGAAAAAGAAGATGATAAAGATAAAGATGTTGATGATGATAAAGATGATGATGATTAGGTAGAGAAAGAAGAAGAAGATAATAAAGATAAAGAAGAATATGATGATGACGATGATGATGAAGAAAATGATAAGGTAGAGAAAGAAGAATAATATGATGTAGAGAAAGAAGAAGATGATGATGGAGACTGAGAAGATGATAAAGATAAAAAAGATGATCATGATAATGCTGAAGATAAGGAAAACGATGACAATGGTATTTTCATTTCATACAGTTTATAATATTAAAATTTCATACAGATTCTTTCAAAATTAATGACACATATTGTATCTAGAGAGACTAACAGATTTCTTTGATTGTTCAAATGAAAACGTAGATTTTATTATTCTGTGACAATAATCTCCCCCCCCCCCCCCCAACAACCACTTCTCTCTAGAACCACTACCAAATCCTTTGAGTAGATGGAATAACAAAGCATCTCGAACATACCTCTTTAGGTTCACTACACATCATGTGTTCTAGGTGAGAATTATGAAGAGAATGATAGACAAAGACTTGAAACTCCTTTTCATCTTCATCTTCATCTTCTTCCTCATCATCTTCTTCTTCTTCCTCATCCTCCTCTTCCTCGTCCTCTTCACTCTGTCTTTTTACGATGAAAGTGTGATCAGGAAAGCGTAACCGTACCTGTTGGTCTGACGATGGCATTGGACCTGAAGAAGAATGAATTCAATTTGGTTCAACGATTCATTCATCCAAAGAAAAACGTTCAGTGCACATCATTTAACACAAATAACACAAAAAGTAGGAATTCACACGTTCACATGTGATTGTAACCGGCATAATATCAAAATAATGTATATAGAATAGAATAGAATTGTCTTCTTCCAAAGAATGAAGAAACTTTCCTTCCAGGTGATCATACATAAACAATTCACAACTTATACAATCATACCAATATGTCTCTAAGGAAAACCTGTTGAACATTATAATAAACATTGCAGGTTAATGATAGTATTCTGTGTTTACTTGATACAAATGTAGTTAAATTGATATTGAAAAGCAATGTGTTAGTGCACGTAGTGTTGTGCAGTAATAACAATTTCTCTGAAAAAAACCCTGAAAATTGAAAACCTATAACCTATAGCCAAATATAGGGGGGGGGGGGACTTTGAGGGAGAGAAAATACATTGAAAGTGGAAGACTGAGGGATTGGGAAAAACTGCCCCCAAACAAGCAAATTTAGAATCTCTGAAACTTCATGAAGAGTGCTGTGTAACTAACCTCTTGGGGCAAGGTCAGTTTCCCCATCACAAAAGGGCGGAAGACGATTGGCTATGAAGTCACAGAGCATCTCATTGGCTGCTTCCTGACCATGTGACTCAATATGGCTGCTCAGTTGAGATATCAAATCTGCCATTTTTCTACCAGTCTCGCTGCTGCTTGCCTGGAAACGATTCAAGATATGTAAGCTAATTAGCCGTTGCCAGGTGGGCTTAGCCTGAACTGCCCTCCAATGGGATTAGGACAATGGTAAGCCTTATTTAATGTACACATATGGAAGTATAACCTTGGTAAATCCATCAAACGAGTCTCCTGCGAGGCAACTTCAATGATGAAACACCATCTCTACTGTATCCTGCTACAAGGGCCCTGCAAATTGCAAGATTGATTATACAACACATTGCTCCAAGGTCAATATATGCTACACTAACCAAATTCTTCTTTGTATTCACATGTATCTTTGTACTGTTGAGGTGCAGTACGAATTATATACTATGTCTGGTAAAAGGTATAAAAGGGAGTACAAACAGCATCTACACTTTGACAGAGCTGGGTCTTTTGTACAAGAGAGGTACAATTAACTGTATGCTGTGGGCGGGAGTTCCAGAGCCTTATCACACTCATTCCTTGACTAAACACAAAACGTAGCCCTAACCATAAACCTAACCTAAAACCCAACCCTAACCATATATCTTCGATGTAATCAATCAATGAGCAATTGCTGCAGAAGAATATATGTCAGAGCCAACATCATCTAAAGGACTTCAACCAGTATGCCATATCTGTAATAAAATCAATCCTAGAGCAAATGTCACTGGAGCATATGGCGAAGGCTCAAGGCACCACAATATCACCAGGGGTGTGTTTCACAAAGACAGATCGACTTTAAGTTGGACTTAACTATGGCAGGCCGTTCATGCCACCGTTTGCTCTTACTACTAAGATCTTGAGATACTATCTTTTTTCCTTCAATAATGAATTATCAAAAAATTTAAATTCTGTAGATTTGTGACCATGATTTGTAAGTCCCTTGAGAGACCAATGCCAGTAAATGGTGAGAGCAAACAGTGGCATGAACGGCCTAACATAGTTAAGTCCAACTTAAAGTCAATCTTAGTCTTTGTGAAACATTCCCTGGACTTCAGCCAGAGTGCCAGAGATTGCGCTTGTCAATGGTTAAATACACCAAGATGAACATCACTACTTACTTGATGGTTAGGATCTGAGACGAATCTAAGAGGAAGACCCTGACGGTATGAGACGTTCTCTGAGATAGCTGTCTGGATCATGGATGGGAGGGCAATACTCAGTAGATCACCCCAAGAACTATATGTAAAGAGATATCAACACCATTATTATTTACCTCAGCTTATATGCTTCATTTATGAAACTCTTATGTTGGGTTGCCTGACTTGCCTCATACATGAAATGTAAGGAGATGCAAGGAAACTATTACAGGATTCTCACACACAATGGTGAAATGGACAGTGTCCATTCATTTCATTTCATGAATTACATATTCACCTGTTCCAAAGTGATTGGTAAACCAGTGAGCCTGATTTCTCAAAGTGTTGAAATTTCTCTCTCTCTCTCTTCCTTATTTTATACAGGTAGTTTATGTTGATTGTAATTATCATGTAATTTGTTAGTATATTGTTTAAGCCAACCCCATCACAAGCTTCATCCTTCAATTCAGGGAATTTTGACTCCTTCCTACACTGTTAATATGTATCTCATGTTACCTTTAAATACAGAAATAAATGTTAATGGAATACTGAATATTGAAAACATACCAACATTGCAGATTCGTATGGAGTAATGACAAAGTCGATTCTCAAGGTAATATTAAGCTTTTTTTATATTGGTTTTGTTACTAGATTTCAAATCCCACTGGTCTATCGCAAATGAAGCTCTCTATTCAAGGATTTCAGAAAAATATATGTTTCAATTCTGATGGCCTTCAAACTCATAAAAGGCGAAATGATTGAAGGATATACAGTAGGCTTGCGGGTGTACCATGTGAGAGAGAGGAAAGATTGAGGAGTCCTAAAAAGGACTCTCTGTAATCTTTCTTGAGGGTGTGTAGTCCTGAAAAGGACTGTTGGTGTAGTCTTGAAAAAGACTGTCGGTTATCTTTCTTAGCTTATAGTTCTGAGGAGAACTATAGTGCTTGGAGAGGACGAGTTGCGGGAGTGGCTTGACGTTTCGAACAGGTTGACTATCCGTCGTCAGGAGTGGAGAATAGCTGGCGTGCGTGAGCTTAAGTCACCGGGCTGCGGACGTGGGGGAAAAATACATGACCTTGAGAGCTTGAGTCATTGAGCCAATGATTGAAGGAGTAGAAACTGTGAAGGAACTTACGATCTTTGATATGTGCTTATAGTGAGATGTGTGGAGTGGCTACAAGTACTTGGAGTATCTGCCTGGTGAACAGTTCCTCGTGGGAAGTACATCAAGTCCCCTGCCTGAGAGATCAGAGCAAGAAAGGATCACCAGTCTACTGACTGAACTGAATATGATGCAATACAACAATAATAATAATAATAACAAAAACAACAATAACAATAACAATAATAACAATAATAATAATAATAACAATAGTAATAATAATAATAACAATAGTAATAATAATAATAATAGTAATAATAATGACTAAAAAAAAAAAAAAAAAAAAAAAATGAGCTGGGTCATGGAGAAGCACTAAAATCTGTTATAATTGACACTCCTGGTGCTCGTTCATTATTATTATTATTACCCGGCTAAAGCATGACTGCCTTCACAGCACTCATTTCTTGGCAGGTACTAGTAACCATTTACTTTATCTACAGATTATTGGCTGGTCATACATCATTAGTGAACTGGCAAGGAATGGAACCCCAGACCTTCAGTTCCAGAGCTCAGTGACTAACAAACTAATAAAATAGACTTTTTTGCATAATAACTCTTAATCTGAAAATTATTACCAAGAATATGGAGTATAAACACGTCTATATTTTGTGGGCACCCAGTAAATACATGCAAGAAAGAATGACACCATAATACCTTCATTGCTATTTTTCCTTTTCCTTCTGATGGCTTTCAAAATGGACAGTACATGTACATGGAGAACAGATCAATCCATTAGAATTTTAAATTTCTTTGACTTCCGATAGTATCCAAATAAATGCAAACGAACAGAAATAACAAAGCTTAACAAAAGGGATATAAATTCAAATCTAAATCTTGAAACAAATACAGTGAAACATGCTTTAGCAACCACCTGTCTAAAAAGACCACTTTCCTTGTCTCCCTCGAGTGGTCCTTATATACAGGTTTCACTATACACAGAGTATGACCGAGTAACAAACCTTAAGAACGATGTCATGTGTTGGCTCTCCTAGCTCCGATTGATCAAGATCTCTACTATAATCTCTAGGGAGAAGGGTGGGTGGTTTGTAGAGACGCCAGTGTTTCTCCCCTTCCAGCTGAAGTACAAACACCTACACGCAAGAAAGAAATACCCCAGAAAGATCTTGACAGCTGCTCACTTTTACCGAAGACCAAAGTATTTTAGTTTCATTTAATTATGCTTTTAAAAAAAACATCTTGAATAAACACATACTTTTTAAATCAATATAATCGATTGCAGCAATGGCAATGCCCAAAAATAAATTTAAAAAAAAAATAAAAAAAATGTGATGCTAAAATAAGTAATAATTCAATACAGAAAAATTGTTATTTAAACATATTTGTGGCTTACACCCAGTAAATAAGATTGATTGATCGATCTGTATTGAAAAACAAGTCAGAACAAATCTTGGAACCAGCGGGACTTGAACCCGCATCTAATTCAAATTTCTCCCAGGAAGCATTACATTTATAAAAGAAAACTTGTTTTTAAGCACTTTTTATGCTACCCGGTAAATAAAAACTAATAACAAAATATTGGAAAATAATTTGCTTGGATTGAAATTCAAGTATTTGTTTCCGGTACATACAAAACCCAAACTTAGAAAGCCAAATAACTACTGTAGCTTAGTTTGCCTGCCTACCTCTACATCATCGTAGTGAGGAGCCAATCCCTGTGATAGCTTGGGTGTCATGTAGATATTAGATCCCACCAGGCAGCCAAAATAAGACTCCAGCTTTTCAAGGAGATTCCAAACACTTTCCTGTAGGGAGGGCGTAATGTCACACAGGCATAAACCATGGAATCAGTCAATCATTTTTTTAGATTAAAGATAAAGGTGAGTTCTGGTAAAAAAAAAAAAAAAAAAAAAAAAAAATTCTCATAGAATCAAATGAAAATTACACTGAATGTTCAAGATTACAAATAAATGTCATTTGCCAAACAATTTTGGTAGAAACTGTATACTGGCTGAGTAATGAGCATAGAAAGATTAGGAAATCAAGGTTAGTAGCCCCCGACACTATTTGTGTAGTCCCATATACATCTTTCTGTGTGCAGTGCTTGTTACTTTACCAAGACTGGGCCAAATTTATTATGATTTTGATGACTCCAGCTTCCAGAACATTGCAGTACACACAAATACTTACATGCTACTTTTTCTGATCCATTCCACACCTTTTCTTTCACAATGCAATCTGATGACCAGAACTCACCTTTATCTTTAAATTTGATTGCACACAAACTTCATGAAATGATAAAAAAAATGAGGCCCATTGAGAACTGAACCCCTAGTTGCCAGTATACTTCCCAACTATAGATAAACATAAACAAGATGGATATACCGGACAGTGGACATGAAGATGAATGAACAGATAAGAGTTGATTACAGATGTATTTAGAATTTAGATGAAGAGAAGACTTGAAGACCCTCTTTAGGGGACCCATAGGTAGATGATGATGGTGGTGGTGTGACGATGATGATTATAGTGAATTGGTGATATCAATGATGATGATGATGATGATAGGAATGATGACAATGGTAGTGGCAATGATGATAAAACTGATGTTGGTGATAATGATCTAATAAGGATGATGATGATGATGATGATGAAAGTGAAAGTGAAGATGGTGATCATAATAATGGATGACGATGGTGGTGGCAATAATAATGATGATGATGATGATGATGATGATGATGATATAGATGGTAAAGATGACGATGCAGAAGATCATCACCACAATAAACATTAAAACGTGATGATTATCCCCTACATGTGACTGTGTCTTACGTGTGACTGTGTCCTACCTGAAAGCGTTGAGGTTGATGAAACTGAATCGTAGCTTTGTCTTGATCCAAGAGCTCCTTGAGTTTAGTAGGCTTCACAATTCCGTTCCCATTCAGCGATTCTCTCACTTCTCCCTTGTACCTGCACACATTACAGTCTTGGATGAAAGAGATTTTCTTTTCTGCTACCAACCCCTCTAAAATTGTCCTTGTAAAAAGAGATTGGAAGTAGTCCCGATGCTTTTCTCTGTTGGATATGACGATAGGTTGCTTTTCCCAGTACTCTTCCATGAATGTTTCAATCTGTATGTAAAATGTAAAAAAGATAATAAACACAAAATAAACATTAGGGGGGGGGGGGGAGGAAGGTACAAATTGTATTTTTCAAAACTCAAGAGTCCTATTCATGAAGATGAAGGGGCCTATTAAGTTGAAAATAACCTGTTTTAAATGGTTACAGCCTTCCCCATCCCTTTAGAGTTTAGGAGGTGATCTTGCAATTGTCATTGAAGTAAATGGAGATTTTTATTCTAGAAGAAGAAAGGCCCTTTTCTTGCAACAGCGAAATAGTTACCTTCATGGGGTGAATGAGATGTGCAATGCCTCTGCAGGAGAAGCTATGCCTATGTTGGCCATGTCAGCTGCATCTTGGTTGCCATTGTTTTCTTGAGCCACATCTCGAGTCTTACTTAATTTGGTGTTCTTGCTCAGGCCTCTTGCTTTCTTGGTGGTGTCACTTGGAGCATCGTTGGAGTCGAGGTGAAGAGGCTGCTTGGATCTTCGCTTCGGCATGATGATAATTTACAAATTCTTGCCTTCTTGGAATTAATCTGTTGAAACAAAAAAAGGGTCGATAACATCAACAGTATTTACTAAACGCAGGGTCTAATAATTCATTAATAATAGTATTAATAGACCAAGTATCTAAACCTGTAAAGATCTAATATTAGCAATTCATGTGTTTGATTCTTAAACAATAACACATCTAGATTTCATGACCCGCCGCCTGAGCCCTGATTACCATGATTACAGGTGCCAGCTGGGCGGCTAGGCTAGGCGGGTAGATCTATCATTATATGCCAGGTTTCATTGGGCATTGCTTCGTGAAACTGTCACAAGTAAAAGTTCACCGATATCCCATTAAAATGTATATCACCTTAGCTACCAAGTACCAAGGCGCGGTAGCTAGACAGACAACAACATAATTCGTAGGAAACTACGTACCGGTATAGTACTTACATGTGCAGAATCAGCTGACAAAATATAATACACATATGCGCACACGTGCTTTTGCCAACGCAAATTTACATCGGATACATAGTTACGCGAGGCTTTGATATTCCAGAGCCCACGGTGCGGTGCAGAGCATGCAACATTCTTTTGGAAAAATGATTGCTGGGAAAGTCATATTGTTCCTGGAATTTTTTTGTCAGTTAGTGGAAGGATTACCCCCCCCCCCCCCCCATGATGGTAAAAGTGTGACCAGCGGTCCGATTTTACTAGCCACACTTTTTTAAATGTTCACTTTATTTCAATCTGCATATAGACGGAATAAAAAGATAAAGGGGAAATTATTGCTGGAAAACGGCATATTGTTCCGGGAGTGGAACCATGGACCTACGTCTACGATCTAACCTTTGGTAGGATAGTGGAAGCTAGGATGCCCCCCCCCCACATCACTCGTTACCCACATGATGGTTAAAGAGTACAGAGGTCCAATTTTACTAGAGATCCAATTTTAAAATGTCACTATAAAGCTATAGGCCTATACAAAAAAAATCGAACAGAATTGAAGGCAGACATTTTGGCCATAATTGCTGGAAAACGGCTATTAAGTTCTTGAAAACTACATGGGAGCATTGGCGTATCGAGGGAGGGATGTGTTTTGGGTGTTTAAACACCCCCCCCCCCCCCCATTGACAAACAGGGGGTGGTGTTTTAGGTGTTTTGAATGTTAAAGAAACCCTTTATCTTTGTTTCAGATGTTTACAAATGGCTGGCTGATTCGCCCCTAAATATTTTCTCACAAATTGGGGGGACTCTTGAAAAATAGTGCTCATTACCCCCACCCCCGCTTATTCACCGGGTGGCTGATTCGCCCCCCCCCCCCCCCCCCGTCCCCCACCCCCTTAAAAAATCCGGATACGCCCTTGCTTAATTCCAACGACATGCGCCTGGTAAGGCTATTGTGACGTATGAAATAGGCAACAACAACAAAAAAGAAAGAGGGGAATTCCCATGCAACTTACAAGCGCGCACATCGCCGCGTAGCGTGTGATGGCGCGCGTATTACAATACGCGTGTCAAAAGTGTCGAAAATGCATCGACACTGACCTACATAAAACATCTAGTAGCCTAGCCACTTGAGAGAGAAAGTGTCGTCACTGGAAGTTGCTTCTGATTAGTCAGCCTGCTCATAAAGGGAACTATATTTGAAGCAACATAATTTCATATAATAATTTGAAAAAGTTTGCATCTACACCCAGCATCAAATATTTCGTGAGTCTCACGGTCCAAGTCACGTTAAACGAAATCTCACCCCAAAGAATAAGTCTATGTCTTCTGAAAATTGAGATATATTCCTGCCCTTTGAATGATATATTCCGTATACGAAGAAAGTGTACAAGAGATGTATAAATGAAGATATTTTTGGAATACATAGGCGCAGCCATTTTCTTGAAAATGTGACGTACCACGGGTGAAGTTGTACATGTATCATGCACTTTAGTTGGAAAGACTTTTTAAATCAATGACAAAACCTTTACTTTTCACTAAGGAAAAGGCATAAGTGAGAAGATAAAAATTGTATTGGTGAAAAATATATAACAGGTGAACAGTAACTAATTAATTTTAAAATACTAAACTTTAGCAGTTGACAAAATGTTTCATTTATGAGAAACCTTCACCCCAGAAGAGCACCGGTTATTTTATGCAATGTGCGTTCTGGCAATAATTTTAGTACAAATTATAATAGCAGGTCAATGAAATGCTTCAACACCACACACACCTGGTAAGGAAGCTTCCATAAATTTGAATGCAAAGTCATGTACTGTAAACGACTTCACATATATCAAGGAAATGGCGATGCTCATGTCGTGCTGAGATACTGTACATTTGTGTTGCTTTATGCCTCTCTCCAGTGGCGGATCCAGGGGGGGGGGGGGGCCCGGGGGGCCCGGGCCCCCCCCCCTTGAGAAAAAAACCATGTAAAATCACGTGATTTTTACCTTTTTTGGGGGTTGGGCCCGTCCCCCCCTGGCGCTCAAGGGGGGGGGGGGGTGCAAATTGAATTTTTTTTTTGAGGATCCAAAAAAAAAAAAAAATGTGCTCACCCCCCCCCCCCCCCCCCCCCCCCCACTAAGCGAATTTTTGGCCGGCGCGTTTTTCAAATTTTCGGGAGCAAAAAAAAAATTGTGCTCTGTACCCCCCCCCCCCCCCCCCCCCCCCCCCCACTGAGCGACTTTTCGGCCGGCGCGATTTTCAAATTTTCGGGTACAAAAAAAAAAAAAGTTGGGCCCCCTCCCCTAAGAAATCCTGGATCCGCGCCTGCCTCTCTCACACACTTTGGTGGGGAATCCTGTAGGTTAATGGACAATAATGTTATACATCTCTCAGAATAAGTAAAGTTATTTATTGGAATGAGGTTTCCTTTACAATGCTATAAATGCGAGGGGGGGGGGTGTTTTGGGTGTTCACCCCCCCCCCAAGCAGAAATATTTTCTCACGAATCGGGCAAAAAAAACACCCTTTAACAAATCCTGGATACGCCCTTGCATGGGAGGATGTCCCCTCATTCACAACAAAATGAATGTGTGATGATACAAAGTGGGACCACAGGCCCAGTTCTATATATTAACCCTACATTTTCAAAATGTTACGATATCACAATCTGCATGGAAGAGGAAACAAGCAGAGCTTTGGGGAAACTGATTGCAGGGAAACGTCATATATATATAATAATTCCTGGAAAATCTTTGGTAGGATAGTATACGTGGGAGGATGCCCCCCTCATTCAACCCCTGGTGGTTTCAGTGGGACCAGTTTTACAAGCCCACATTTACAATTTTTCACTTTATCATACTCTGCAAGAGGAAATATAAAGGCTCCTTTAGACTTTGCGAAATGATTGCTGGAAAACGGCAGATTGTTCATGGCAAATTCCTTGTTTTATTTGGCAGAAACCACATGATATAAAAACTACAGAATTGAAAACAATGAATAGCAAATCACACAAAAGTACTTGACCAATGGGTGCACCCGGCTGTGCTGCCAGACCTTGGGCAAAGTTAACCAAATAACTATAGTCCGCAGACCGCCCTCACCCAGGGGCGTACGCAGGATTTTTTTCGAGGGGGGGGGGGGGGGGGGAGGTAAAATTTGAAAACCGCTGAATAAGCGGAGGGGGAGGGGGGGGGGGGGTGAGAGCACTTTGTTTGTCCCGAAAATTTGGCCGACCGATATTTCTTTCCCAACCAGATGCAACCAGTGTTGCAGATTTATGTGACAAGGACAATCTAAGAAATACATGTACCACATTCAAATAATTAAGATTCATCAAGACAAAGCCTACAAAACTCCACAGGTGTTGAATCACAAGCCGACTCGTGACCACACCATTGACAGCAGCAGAAAAAAAGTGGCACAATATGATCTATAGGGAAAATTTGTATCCGGAGTGTGATTCAACCCTAAAAAAAAAATATAGACCTATACGTGTATTAAACATAATTATAATACATTTTTAAAAAAACATGCCAAATGTGACATTACGACAGTGATATTGCACAGATAAAGTAAATGCATATATACGTGTAAAATTGATGGAGGAAGCTCACTTATTGAGATAATGAGTTGTTATGTTCTTCATCATTGAGGGTGCGAGTCTCTAATGTCGAGAGGAAAGTGATCCAAGTTTGGCCATTTTATAGCCCATTTAATATTAATAAGTTGACCTCAGCTGTGTTTTCCTATATAGACAAAGCCAATCAGCAAATACTGCAGATGGGTTGTCCGTTTTAAAGTTGATTCCAATTAAAAAAATATTTAAGGACTAATCCGGTCCGATTTAAAGATTTTACAATTAAAAGAGTGACAAATCAAGAATACAACATTGCAAAGTTGATTAAAATTGGACAAAAAATAAGGAAGTTATGCTATTTGGCAGTTTTCCTCATTTTTTTAAAGAAATATTTCTTGAAACATCCCTATAATGCATATGCAAAAATAAATGAGTTCATGATGTCATTGCCTCAAAACTTCCCATTTATCTATTTTGTATATAATTTGTTTTATTTTTCAAACGTATATTATGCCCGACTCTTTCACTGTGATATATTTTTGTTGTTGCTTGTTTATCAACTAATAAACAAACATAAATACAACACATTGTTCATTAGTTCACAATGTATAAATATGACGAAAAGACGAATAAACATAATATAATGATATTACTGCCCTACACATTTATTTCAACCTCAAAACTAGAACAAAAACAATTATTTTTTCTTCAGAAAAAGACTGAATACTAAAAAAAAAAAAAAAAAAAAAAAGAGTTTCATATTTCTCATATTATTATACAGAATTGAAATTTTGAGTTTTTCTTCTATTAAAACACGAACTATCCCGAAACCCTTCCCTTTCCTTTCCCTCCTATCTTACTCATATTACGATGGTCTGACCATCATTTCGTCTAATCATCATTTGGTCTCAATGAAACAATCTACATTGGGACAACTTTATATGTTATAAACGTTGAATCGAAAAGTTACTATGCCTTTAATGCTATAGAAAACAAACAAACATTTTTTTAGGCCTACCAGCTAGAAACATTTGTTTGACATGCACGATTTATTTCAGTTCACTTAAATAAATAAGAGACAATGATATCAAACAATATAATTTCAAATTAATTCATAGGGAATATATTGCCCTCCAAAAATAATCTCTTTACATTGAAAATCGTTCAGTTTAACGAATGTGAAATTTTGAGCATTAATTTTCATTGCAAGAAAAGTTTTATGGAAATTATCTCACGAATTGTATATTTCATTTTTAAAACAGAATTTGAAATCGATATGAAAATGTTATTGATTGGATATAAAAGAAATGACAGAAAAATTTACGTTATTTAATTTCTTGATAAATACATAATTATATACAAAGATTAGGTATATCATGAAAGCGGAACTTTGGGGAGGTACAAACCGATCCAAAGAGGTTTATAAATAATTTTATTCCATCATTGAAATATTATTTGAAATACAAAGAAAATATGAAATATGAAATAT